TCGCCGCTGCAGGAGCGGTTTGATGTTGACATCAAGCCCTTGCCGGAGCACATTGATGCGTCCACTTACATGAATGCGGCATGAGCGGCAGGCTCGGGCAGCCGCCGACGGCGTTTGCCGCTCCAGAACCCGCCCGCGGCTCGCGCCGCGGCTAACTGGCCGGCAGCAGGAGCTGCTCAGCTGCGGCCCGGTGGCAGGGAGGCGCCCTGTTCGTGAGCAGCCCCGTGTCGCCTGCGCTTGCGCTCGCATGCATGCACGTCTGGCGCTCCATGCATGCATGCATGCTCCCCGTGTGACCTCTTGTGTGCGTTTATGACACCCTGTCTTTTCTCCGTTGGCTTTGAGCTCTCACCATTCCACCCTCAGCTCTACCACGCACACCACCAAGCACCGCCGGGTGGCTGTGGCATGTAACCCGCTACCAGGCAACTGTGCACAGCGCGACGGTGCAGTATGCTCTTGGGAACTTCAGGAGAACAGGCATACACTCCTCAAGTTAGGCTGGTGCAGCCTGCTAGGCCCATGCAATGCATATTGCACTGATGCTGTCTCATTGGTGCTGCCTGGCAGGCGGTGCCGCCATTGGGCCTGGTTGGGCTTCCAGGGCACAAGGTGGCCCTGCCATCATCTTTCCATTCTCACTCGCCTCTGATCCCGCCCTCCTGTGCTGCTCCCCGTTTGGGTTGAGTTCATCAGCCATCAGCCATGCGCCGCTCGGCCGCCAGTCTCTTGCCCCGCCTCCTGGCCGTGGCTTCAGAGGCACCCCTGGCGTTGCATCCAGCCGGGATTGCCCTGCTGCCTCGCCTTGCAGTAGCGGGAGCAGAAACCAGCTGGTGCCAGCAGCATGGCCTCCCGAATGCCACCGCCCTGCGCACCTTCAGGAGCTGCGCGGCTGCCTGTCACTCGGCGCTGGTGGAGTCTCTGGGGTGAGGGAGGAGAACGATGCTGCAGAGCCCCTGCAACAGCGCGCCCCGCCGCCGCCGCCGCCGCGCGGCGCCCTTTTTTTGTTGAGCATGCTGCTGTGCGCTCTTGGTCTGCAGAGAGGAGCTGAAGTATGAGAAGGACAACTATGCACAGCCAGAGGTGAGCCAGACCAGCCGCCTGGGGGGATGGAGACAGCAGAGGCGAAGCCGGCGCTTTGCTTCCTGCCGCTGTGCCTCGTGCTTGCTGCCTGCCTGCCTCCTTCCTCGTGCCTGCGCACCATGCCGCTGCTGCCGTTCTGCCTAGCTGTGAGCTGCCGCGCTGCCGCTGCAGGAGCTTGCAGCGGGTCCGCCTGCGGGCTTCTCGCTGACCGAGACCGATGGCGACACTCTGATGAGCTTGAGCAAGGAGCACAAGGGAGAGCGGGTGACCATTGATGTGATGGTGAACGACCAGGTGGGCTGTGGCACCAGGGGGATGTGGCAGGAAGGCAGGCACGCATTCAGGCAGGCAGGCAGGCAGGATCAGCCCACCGGGTGTGGCACGGAGGAGGCTGCTTCCACCGCTACGCCCTTCCCTGCCAGGGCTCCAGCTGCGGATCGTCCAGCCCTGCCTGCTCTGCCACCTGCGTGCTCTTCCGCCTCGCCTCGCGCTGGCCCTCCCCCCATCACACCACCCCCACGCCTTCACATGGACAGCACCACACGCTTGCCTGCGCAGCCCGAGGAGGAGCTGGTGGAGGACCAGAGTGGGGCGCTGGATGCTGACGTGGGCGCCGTCTTCACCGCCTCGGTCACCAAGGGAGACCAGAGCCTAGTGTGAGGCGGCGGGCTCAGCGGGGAGCGGTGCCTGCCGGCCAGCCTGGCACGGATGATGATTGAGGCTCCTGTTCCGTGCACGATACCTCCCGCCTTCCCCTGTTCCTCCTGAATGCCTCCTGGCGCGTGCCTGCCCCAGGTTTGAGTGCAAGAGCGACGGCCAGTACTTTTCGGTGCTGCACGTCAGCCTGGAGCCCGCCGGCGGCGAGGAGGAGGAGTCGGCGTACAGCGGGCCGGTGCGTACCGCAGCACCGTACCGCAGCAGTGCTTGCACCGCGGGGACATCTGGCCGCCCCGCTGCCCCGTTGCGCAGCTGCGGCGCTGCCTGCTGCAGCAATCTGCGGCGGCAAAGGCCCGAAGCGCCGGCCCTGCTGTGCCTGCCACGGTACCGCAGGTTTATGAGGAGCTGGATGAAAAGCTGCAGGCCCACCTTGAGCACTACCTGGCAGAGGTGCGGAAGGGAGGATGGCATGGGGCGTGTTCAGTGGACAGTGGATCCCCGCTTTGCAGAGGTGGCGAGGTGGCCTGCGGCACTCCTGTGGGGCCGAGTCTGCTTCTCGAGCCCAAGCCACCAGCTGCTCGCCCCCGCCGCCGCCTCATCATTCTGTCCGCACGCTGCGCCTGCTGCAGCGCGGCGTGAATGAGGAGCTGGGCGCCTACCTGCTGCCGCTCATCCACGACAAAGAGCAGCGGTGAGCGGGCGGGGGGCGGGGCGCGGCGCCTGCTCCTCCCGCCGTTCTGTAACATTGTGCTGCTGCTGCTGCTGGGGTTCCAGATGTGATGCGTGTCACCCCATTGCCGTGCCGCGCAGGGAGTACGTGAGGTGGCTGGCACGTGTGCAGGCGTTTGTGAATGCATGAGGCAGGGCCCAGGCGCAAGACGCTCGTGGTGGTGCTGCCGGCGCGTTTTGAGGGGTCGCTGCCTGGCTGCGCCACTTGGTGCCGGCCCCCACCCCCTTGTGCTTTTGACTCCTGTTCGCACTAGCATCATGAATGCCGCCCTGTACGCACTCTTGGTTTAGGGGGACCGTCCTCCCGTCAGGTGACGGGTGTAAACGCCGCCACAGCAGCAGCTTGGGCGGGGAATGCAGACCGCCCTCCGCCTATCATTGTGCAGACTGCAGGAGGCACAATTTACCGTGTTCACCAGTGAGCAGAGGGATGCATGTCCAAGCAACCGGTGCCACACCTTGAACTGCCGTCCCCGCAGAGCTAAACGCCACCGCCCCGCTGGCGTGCACAGAGTTTTCCTTAGTGTGGTCCCCTCTCGCGCGTCCGCCGCTTTCTCGTTGTTTGGCTGGTGCCCTGTGCCTGTTGTTGAGGTGCGCAGAGGCTGCAGGAGCAGGCCCAAACAGGGCTCAGCGGATGCGGGAACGCGAGCGCTCTAGGGAGCGTGACCGGGATAGACGAGACCGGGACAGGTGCGTTGGAAACGCTGGTGACTGGAGGATGGGCCTAGGCCGAGACTTGGCGGGGCAGGCGCACCCTTCTGTGCATTCCAGACCCCCCAACCTTGCTGATGCAGGCGGGACGAGCGAGACAGGCAGGACAGGAGCCGCGATGGCCGCGATGGCCGCCCCGGCGGCAGCGGCGGCGGCGGCGGGCGGGAGCGCGGCGGCGGCAGCGGCAAGAGCCGCCTGCCGCCGCGCGCGCCCTCCAACCCCCTGATGGCCGAGGCCTACCGGCTGGCGCGGGAGCAGATGGAGCGGGCCAAGGTGCAGCAGGCGGCAGGGAGCGACGGCGAGGAGGAGCCTGTGCAGCGGCCACGTGAGCCTCGGGCCTTGCCTGCAGGGGTGGCGTGGGTGCTGGGTGCTTGCGCCCAGCCTGCAGCTGCCATGAAGCACGGCCGGTGTGGGGCAGCCAGCCAGCGGCTGGGGCGAGCGAGGCTGGCGCCGGGGGCTGCGCGCCCAGTGCGGCCTGCCTGCCCGCCCGCCTGCCTGATGGCCACCCACCGACGCATCAGCTTGCGCTTCCTTTCCGCGGCCTGCCCCACGCCACTGCAGCCTCGCGCGGCTGGCGCGCCGCCATTGAGGACGAGGACGGCACGCCAGAGGACGGGGAGCTTCCCGCGGGGGAGGGGCAGCGGGAGGCGCAGCAGGCGGGGGCGCCGCGTGGCGACGAGCCGGGGAGCGAGGGCCGGAAGCGCAAGCACGCGCCCATCGTGTGGCACACGCCTCCCAAAGCCCACCAGGCCGGCCTGGCGCACGTGGGCTCCTCAAAAGGCCTAGACAGCCTGGGCGCAGGCGACGGCAGCGGCGGCGGCGGCGGCGGCAGCAAGCCGGCCGCGGCAGGCGCCAAGTCCGCTGCCGACCGTGCGATGGAGGAGCTGCGCGCGTTCCAGCAGCAGCAGGCGGCGGAGGAGGGGGCCAGCGGGGATGAGGATGATGGGAGGCCGCTCCTGAAGCCCTCGCCTTCGGTCAGCAGTGAAGAGGAGGAGGAGGAAAGGGACGGCGGCAGGCGGGGACGGGGTGAGCGACAGCTTGGGAGGGCTGGGTGGGCAGGCTGGGCGGTGCTGGGCCCGGCCGCTGCTGTTTGCTGCTGCCGGAGGCTACAGCAGGCGCAGCCGGAGCAAGCCGGGGGCTGCCGGCCTGGCCGCAGCCCAGCAGGCGCAGCACGCGGCGCTGCCGTCCCAGCCCCCGCCGCTTGCTGCCTCACGCCGCGCCTGCTCCAAACATCCCTCCGCCCCCGCCTCTGTGCCCGCAGACGATGGGCAGCGATCCTCGTCGGGAAGCCCCGCAGCGGCCCGCCCCGCGGCAGCGGCGGCGGCGGATGCAGAGGACGAAGCGCTGACCGCGCCCTCGCAGCCCAAGCGCGCCAGCCGGTGGACCGTGCAGGCGGAGTCGGGCGCGGAGGAGGAGGAGGCTGGGGCCAGGCCGCAGCAGGCAACGCGCCCTGGCGGCGGCACGGCAGCCGACGATGTCGGGTCGGATGCGGAGCACCCTCAAGAGGGGGCGCCAGGGGGCGAGCCGCAGGAGGCGTCCGACGACGAAGGCGGACTGTCGCCACGCTTTGCGTGAGTTGCTCGGGCACAGCGCACAGCGCAGCTGGGGTGCCGGGGCGGCGGCCTGTGCCCTGGCATCGCTGCTCGGCCTGCGCTGCACAAGGAGCTGTTTGCTGGGAGCTGCATGCTTGGGCTCTGAGCTTACGCGCTGCTTGCCGCCCTGCACTTTCCTGCCTCTCAAGCACACGCGTGCGCGCGTGCACACACACACACACACAACACACTCTCTCTGCTGCCCCCTGCCTGCCCACCGCGCCACGCCTGCCCGCAGCAAGCGTGCGGTCAACATGCTCGAGGAGTGCCGCAGCGTGGAATGCTACGAGAAGCTGAACCGCATTTCTGAGGGCACGTATGGCGTTGTGTACAGGTGGGTGGTGTTGGGTGCCACCGGTATACAGATGTACTGATGGCGTGGTGGGGTGCACAGATCACTCTCCCAAAACCGTGACAGCCGGCTTCTCGCGGCGCCGCTTCGGGCCCCCGGCTTGCCTGCACGCCTGCGTCTGCTTGACACAGCGTTCGGGCGTGTGGGGCGGTACTGCTGTGCAGGGCGCGGGACCGTGAGACGGGCGAGATCTGCGCGCTGAAGAAGGTGAAGCTGGAGAAGGAGCGGGACGGCTTCCCGCTGACTTCCATCCGCGAAATCAACATCCTCCTCAGGTGGGGGAGGCTGCCGCCGCGAGGGCCTGACCGGCATGGATGTGCGAGGGAGGCTGGAGGCCATGCAGCAGCCCGAGCCACGCCGCTCCACAGATGCTGCTGGTGGCTGGGACTGGGGCGGGCCAGCCTGCACAGGGATGCACCTTGCCCATGCCTCCTCGTTGCGCACACGCGTCCCACCCACGCGCCCCCACGCATGCGCCCGCCCCCCTCCCCGCACCTGCAGCCTGGACCACCCCCACATCGTGAATGTGAGCGAGGTGGTGGTGGGTCCCTCCCTGGACGCAGTCTTCATGGTCATGGAGTATGCGGATCACGACCTGAAAGCGGGTGTGTGGCGGGGTGCGTGTGCGCGGGAGGAGTGTGTGTGTGTGTGGTGGTGGCCCTGGCATGTGCCTGTGTGTGTGTTTGTGTTTGCCATCTGTGTGTGTGTCATCTGTACGTGGGTGGCGTGTGCCTGTATAGGAGGAGTGTGTGTGTGTGTGGTGGTGGCCCTGGCATGTGCCTGTGTGTGTGTGTGTGTGTTTGCCATCTGTGTGTGTGTCATCTGTACGTGGGTGGCGTGTGCCTGTATATGTGCCGGTGTATGTGTGTGTTTGTGGTGGGGGTTTCTTGTTGGGAGCTTGCTCTGGGGTAAGGTTGGAAGCCGCCTGGGCATTGCTGAGAGCGCTCTGTCGTCGCATCCGCCGCCCCTGCTGCCGGCCCAGCTCGACAGCTCCCCTCCCCGCCCCTGTCGCCTGCCTCTGCCCTGCAGTGATGGAGGAGCGCATGACGCAGCCATTCAGCGTGGCAGAGGTGAAGACGCTGATGCTGCAGCTGCTCAGGTGCGGCGAGGGGAGGGCAGGGGCCGGCCGCGTGGTGGCAGCAAGCCAGCCGGCCCGCCAACGGCGGGAGAAGAGCGGGCACGAGGTGGTCACGGGGACCTCCAGCAGAGTTGCGCCAGCCAGCCAGCCAGCCAGCCAGCCAGGCCGGCCGGCCGGCCGGCCAGCCAGCCAGCCGCCCATGTCGACCCCATCCTTCTTCCGCGCCCGCTCCCCTGCTGTCCCCCGCAGCGGCATGGCGTACCTGCACGACAGCTGGGTGCTGCACCGCGACCTCAAGACCTCCAACATCCTGTACACCAACAGGGGGGAGCTCAAGCTGTGCGACTTTGGGCTGGCGCGCCAGGTGGGGCTGGGTGGGTGGGTGGGTGGGGACGGTGGGGGTGGAGGCGGGGGTGCAGTTTGGGTCAGGTGGGGTGAGCCTGTAGTGGTGTTGGTGGTGGCAATGTACTGCCTCGCTCCACGCCCGCATCCCGCCCCTCCCTCACCTGCCTGCCGTCCTCCCTCCCCACCCGGGTATCTGCAGTACGGCTCCCCGCTGGCCCCCTACACCCACATGGTGGTCACGCTGTGGTACCGCGCCCCGGAGCTGCTGCTGGGGCAGCGCAAGTACAGCACCGCGGTGGATGTGTGGAGCATTGGCTGCATCATGGCCGAGCTGCTCAGGTGTGGGGTGGTGGTGGTGTGGTTGGTGGTGTGTGTCGTGGTGCTGGAGGTTGAGGTTGTGGAGGGCGAGAGCGCGGCGCCCAGCTGCCCACTGCTCCAACCCTGACTACTTCTGCTGCCGCTGCGGCCAGCCACACCCACGCCCACCGACTCCCCCTCTCCTCCCCGTGCCGTGGCGCAGCAAGGAGGCGCTGTTCCCATCCAAGACCGAGATCGATGCCCTGACGCTCATCCTGAAGACCATGGGCTCACCCACAGAGGCCACCTGGCCTGGTGGGTGTGCCCGCTGGAAGCTGCCGCGCGCCTGGCTGGCCGCCGGCTCGCCCCTCCCAGCCGCGGCCGCCTACGCCTCCATGCGCTCTGCTTCCGCATGCAGCCGCCCTGCCACTCCCTGCTGCTCCCGCCGCACACCTGCCTCTGTTTCTGAACTGGCTGCCTGCCTGGGCCTCCTTGCCCCAACGCAGGCCTCTCCCAGCTGCCGCACGCCCGCAAGTTCAACCTGGGAAAGTACCCCTCCGGCTCCCTGCGCCAGCGCTTTCCTCCCGCCGGCCTCGGCTTTGACGGCCGCCCCGCGCTCAGCGAGGCCGGCTTCAACCTGCTGTCCCGCCTGCTGGAGCTATGCCCGGTGAGCCTGCTGCCGCCTGGGCTGCCGGGGCCGAGGGGCAGTGGCGGCGCTGGGGGATGGAAACGGGGCAAGGCTGACTGTGCGCAGGACCCTGCTCGTTGCCCTCATGGCCGATCGGGCCAGGGATGCGTGGTGCTTTTGCCCGCCGCTCGTCACTCCGCACCTCCCCACCAATCACACAAACACACACGTTCACTACTGCCCTCCCCTGCAGGAGCGGCGCATCAGCTGCGCCGATGCGCTGGACCATCCCTGGTTCAGGGAGCACCCTCTGCCCAAGGACAAGGCCCTCATGCCCACCTTCCCCGCCACCAACGACGCCACGCAGGCGCGGCACGCGGCGCAGCGCCGCGCCGCGTCCCAGGCGGCCGCCGCCAAGGTGGCGGGCAAGTAGCGGCGCCACGGCGGGACAGGTGTAAACCGTCTGACTGAGCGCAGCCGCGCGCCTCCTTCTTTACTGTGCTGCCGACAGCTTTGACTTGACTTGACATGATGCACCCCGTGTGGGTAACACCCGTCGCGGCTGGGCTGTGAGCCAACTAGCGAGGCGCACGGTGGCGGCGCCGTGGCGGCGGCGCTGTGGCGGCGGCCCCAGGCAGGGCAGGTCGTTTGCTGCCTCATGCGTATATGCCCAGGGAGTGTCTTTTTCAATTATAAGCAGGCAATCGTGCGCTGAATCGTACTGCCAAAGGCGACTTTCTTCCTTCCTCGCCGCCATGATGGAAACCTCGGAAGGGCCCCTCTGAGCTCGGAGTTGGCCTCTCCTGTTTCCCTGGACCCCCACAGCCAGACTAATCTCACGTCCGCGCCTGGAGCGTGAGTTATTACCTTTGAAGCACACGCCCGCTTGCTCTCGGCCCTCTCCTCGTGCCTAAGGCTTGCTGCTGGGCGTCAGGGGAGCGCTGCCGAGGGCCGCAGCACGAGGTATTGCGTCAGCGGCGGCGGCGCTACAGCCCCCCGTTGCGTCAGCAGCCGCTGCTTTCAGCGCTGTCCCTGCCCCGAGTCCTCAAGACTCCATCACCCACCTGCACGCAGCAGCGGGGCGTGGGCATGACCAAAAACGGGCGGCAGGCAGGGGCGAAGGATCGGGGCGGGCCGGCGCCACGCCGCCGCCTGTGCGCCCCCGTCGTGCCCGCTAACATCATCGGCGGCGCCCTCGTCTTCCTCTTCACCTACAAGGTACCTGACACGGATGTGGGTGGCCTGTGGAGGCAGTGACTGCAGTGCCACTCCTGTTTCTAGCCTCCCAACGCTGGCCAGCACCTCCCGACCCTGGCGCCCCGCCACACCTGCCGCCGCAGCTCTTCACCACCAGCCCCTTCGAGTCGATCACCGTGCACGAGGCGCCTGACGACCCTGTACAGCGGCGGTACAGGGGTGCGTTTGTGGAGGTAAGCAAGAGGAGCCACGCCTACCTGCAGCAGGCGCTGTGGGACCGCCAGCCGGGCAGCTACACGCACAACGTGAGCGCGCGCTACGAGCCCGCGGACGAGGCGGCGGTGCGGGAGGTGAGCGGGCACCCGAAGCAGCGCGTCCAATGATGCCATCCATCGATGCGGGGCGTGGAGGCAGGGGCGTGGGGTGGTGCAGGGAGCTGCACCGCCACACTTGGGTGGCCGCCCGAGGTGCCTGCCAGGCTGCCGCGCCCTCTGGCGCTGCCGCTGCCGGCGTGAGGCTGTTCCTTGGTGCCGGCTCCCACGCCGCCCTCTGCTGCGACCCGCAGCTGGCGCAGCCTTCTTTCTACCTGGACCTTATCCGGCGGGACCTGCTGCCATGGAAGGACAGCGGTATCACTCATGTGCGTGGGTGTGCGTGGCAGCAGCAGCAGCAGCGGGAGGCAAAGTGCCTGCGAGGGAGGGCAGAAGCCGGCGGCAGCGGCAGCGGCAGCACTGCGCCTCCAGGGGCTGGTGCTGCCTGCCACCGCAGGCATGTTGGCCGCACGCCGAGGTGCGGAGCATGGGGTTTCCCTCACCCCCTCACCCCCTGCCCTGCAGGAGCTGGTGGAGCGCTCCTCCATGATGTTTGACGACTGTGATGGAGACATGCTGCGCTTCCAGGTGCCGCGCTCGTGTGGCCTCACAGCAGACTGGCTGTTCCAGCAAGGACACGCTGGCAGCACAGCCGCGCCGCGCCCGCTGCCCCGCTGAGCGAGCCTACCGGGCCTGCCAGCCCCGCCCTGCCACAGCATCGCCACCCACTCGAATGCACGTCTATGTGCGTGTGGCTCGCCACGGCTGCGGGTGGCGCCGCGCTGCTGCCCCTGCAGGTGCTCAACGGCTCGCTGTGGGTGCACCACATCACCGAGCGGCTGGAGGGCGGCTGGTACCCGGCGCCCATCGGCCCAGGCAACGCCGCCGCCAAGGGGCGTGTGCCCTACGCCGTGCTGGCCCTCATGGAGACGCTCCGCATGTTCCCCGGCCAGGTGCGGGCGGCAGCTGCAGAGGGCAGGAGGGGGCTGCCGTGGTGGGAGGCGCGGCTGTGGCAGGGGAGCGGCTCTGTACTGCAAGCTCAGTCGTGCCCTCCGCCCGCCGCCGCTGGCGCTGCCCGCGCTGCGACCTCCTTCGCCGCCGCCGCTTGCCTGCCGCCGCTGCAGATCCCCGACGTCGACGCCATCCTCCACTTTGCCGACTTCCCCTGCATCCCGCGGCCCCGCGCCGGCGCCCCGCCGGCGCCCATCCTGGGCCTGCAGGGCTCGGCGCACCACTCCGACATCCCCTTTTCCGACTACACTTACTGGGGCCACGAGCACCAGTACCTGCAGGTCAGCTGCCTCTTTGGTGTGTTTATGAGAGGAAGTCAACTTTCCTCTCATAAAAAGGAAGCTCCCGCTCGCTCGCCTGCCTCGTCCCGACGGCCTTGCCTGCCCGGCGCCCACGCAGCGCAGCCCGCGCGGCCGCCCAGCAAGGCATGCCAGCAGAGCAGTGGCGGCGCCGGGCTCGAGCGGTGCGCGTGTTGCGCCGCTGTCACCTGCCGCCGCGCGTGCCACCCCGCTCTTGCTGCACAGGACCCCTGGGGCAAGCCGGCGCATGGCTGGGGCAACCAGGCCGAGGTGCTGGCTCGCAAGTACGAGAACGTGAGCTGGCGGTACTGCCACTAGTGCCCCTAGTGGCAGGCCGGGCCGGAGACCTGAGCAGCACCATCTGCCCGCACTGTGCTGTGGTCTGCGCTGGGCGGCTGCTCTGCTGCAAGCAGAGCAGGGCAGCGCAGGCATCTGCGCGACGTGTGATGCAGCATGCGCCAGCCAGCGCCGCCCGCCGCTCCGTCGGACGCGCTCGCCACGCCCTGATGCTGCCCGCCTCGCCCTGTGGTGGCCTGCCTGCTGCCCCACCCTGCAGGTCAGCCTGCTGGACCGCATACCCCAGGCCTCGTGGCGGGGCCGCACCAAGGACAATCGCTACCCCGAGAGGGACCACCTCAGGTGCACGACGGTACAGCAAGGGTGCAGTACAGTATGCTTGGGGCCCATGCCGCCGCCGGCAGGCTGGCTGGGGGGCAGGCAGCGCTTGCTTGCTGTGGTTCAGCGGCTTCTGTTCCGACAATGCCTGGTGTGTCCTCCGGCCCTGCAGGCGCGTGTTTGTGGGGTGCGTGGATAAACTGAAGGAGGCAGGGCGGGGCGAGGATGCGGCGCTGCTCAACGTACTGTCGCCGCCGCTGGCGCTGCAGGACAGCTGCGACTACAGGTGGGGCACAGCGCAGGGCGGGCACTGTGATTGTGAGAGGCAGGATGGGGGTGCCCGCTGGGCATCTGGCGGCAGCGCACCAAATTGGTGCCTGCTGCTGTTCCCTGTACTGCGCATATGTACTTCATACTGCAATTATTTGCTGCAGGTACAGCGTGTACATTGAAAGCCAGGCCTACGCCTCCAACCTCAAGCAGAAGATGGTGAGCAGCTGCCAGGAAGCCCGCGCTGGTGGCTGCTGCCAGCCAGCCCAGTGGGGCCGGCAGCCTGGACCGCTGTTGCCCGCTGCCACTGTCCCCGGCGCGGCATGCCACCTCCATCTGTGGCAGCGCAGTGTCTCCAACCACGTACACCCGCAGCAGCAGCACCGCGCTGACAATGAACACACCCAACCACCCCCTGGCCCTGCCTGCCCGCAGGTGTGCGGCAGCGTGCTGGTGGCGCCCCGCATGGAGTACTGGGATTTCTATACGCGGGCCATGAGGTGGGCTGCTGCTTTACTGTCGAAACAGAAGAATTCTGTATCAAGGGATGGCCGCATGGGTGGCGACTTCACCCTGTCAGGCGGCCAGCCTCCACTCACCAGCAGTCGGGCTGTGGTCTGGCCCAGAAAGGTTGCTGCCCACAGGATGCGCGGCGCATCGGCTGACGTATTCCCGACCCACCCACCCACCCACCCACCATTACCACCACCATGCCTGCAGGCCAGGGGTGGAGTATGTGGAGGTGGGCAGCGATGAGGCGGGGCTGTGCGAGCAGGCAAGTGCCAGCCGCCGCGGCGGCAGGGCAGGCCGCTGGTCGAAGTGTGTGGGTGCTCCACGGGGCTGCAACTGCAGGGCAGGGTGGGCTTGCCTGGATGCTGCCATGCCAGATATATGGCCTGACCCTGCCCTGCCACTGGCTGCAGATGGTCAACGTGACTCGCGACATGAACGCCGCCTTCGGCTCCCTGGGCCGCGAGGCGCTGGCCAGCAGCGGCCAGCTGACCCCCACGCTGGCCCGCGAGCTGAAGGAGATGCGACGCGACCCGCTGCTGGCAGCGCTGCTGGCCAGGAGCGGTGCCGGTGGCAGCACCGGCAGCAAGAGCCGCAAGAGCGGCGGTGGCAAGGGCGGCAAGAGCGGCGAGGACGTGCAGCCGCCCGCCAGGGGCCCCGACGGCAACTACAGCTGGGGCAGCGGGGCGATGCCTTGGGAGATTGCTGCCACGGGGCAGCAGTTCATCCAGCGCCACGTGCGCATGCAGGACGTGCTGAGTTACATCCGGTGAGCAGCTGGGCGGCAGCTGGGCGGAGCGCCACTGTGCATGCACGAATTTATGCTGGGGCAGCGCCTACCACGCCACGGTGGCGACACCATGCATGTGCACTCACAACCACGAAAACCGCCTCCCGCCCCCATGTCGGCGCAGGGACCTGCTGCGCGCCTACTCGGCGATGCAGCGCCACGCCATCCGCCCCTCAGCCAACTTGGAAGGCGCAGCCCGTTGCTACACCGGCGACATGCTGCTGCAGGTGGGCGTCGCTCCGTCGCCTTCCCCCTCCCCCTCACAATGCCCCTCCCCTCCTCCCAGGCCCTGCATGTTCAACGCTTCTAAATAATGGGTGACATGCTGATGCTTTGTGTTTGGCTACCGACGGCGCCTGTCTTTGTCAAGCGCAGGAGTTTGGCACACCCCATCAGGTGGACAGGGACATTGTGGCGGCGGCCTACCCCTGGCTCAAGGGCTACGATAACGGTGAGCCTGGCAGGCTGGTGCTGGAAGGGGGCATGTTGCTGGGCTGTCGCTGAGGGCTGAGCGGGCAGCAGGTGGCCTGGGGGAGCATTTACCTGCATGCTTGTGTGGGCTTAAATTCTGGCTTCAGAAAGAACAAGCTTGCAGCACAGACCTCATTGGACGGCGACATGAGGTGTATGTGCTTTGAACCCGCAGGCTGCAGAGAGGCGGAGGCGGTCTACAAGCCTCGCTAGGCAACCAACGGCAGGGCTGGCAGCGCACGCGGCACGCAGCATGCATATGCCCGTAAAGCGCTCGCTGAACCCGCCACGTGGCAGAGCACTCCAGGCGTTTTGCAGCATGTGACTGTGCATTCAATTGCTGTTTTCACTCAGCCAATGACTGCTGCTGCGCAGCTCCTGAATGTGGAGAGCAGTTCATTTGGCAGCTGCCTGCCGCTCAGCTGCCGCCGCAGCTGCGGGGCGGGCGCTGCGGCGGCTCGCCCCAATGGAGCGGCGCTCGCTGCCATGGGCGCGGGTGACAGATGTTCTCCTGAGGCCTTCATCCAGCCATGCATGCAAGAAGTGGCCAGGCCGGCTAGGGAAACCCTGTCGTGTGTCCAGGGGGAGCAGCAGCGGGGCAAGCACACACGAGTGCATGGACTCAGCCGTGCTGAGCGGCGAATGTTCGTCCGGGTCCGCAGCTGCCCAGCCGGCAGCTGGCTCTGCCGCCTGAGGTAGATGCTCTGATGACCCCCCGCCAGGGCTGACATGCTCGCTGCCAGAGCGGGGTGGCGGCCCAGCCGCCGATCGCTGCCTGCAGCGCCGATGCCGCGCTTGCGCCAGCTGGCGGCAGGTCTGCCAGAGGGAGAGGGAGAGCTGCTGGGCACTGCCGCTTCGCAGGCGGGTGCTGTAGCTGTTGGTGCTGCTGGGGGGCGCTGCTGGCCGGGGCAGGCCTCAGGTGGAAGCCCATCTGCTCGACGCTGGGGTAGTCCCGTGCCTCGGCCCCTGCGCACCCAGCGGCGGCGGCACCACGTGCATAGGGCAAGGCCAATTGGCGCAGCAGGTCAGCAGCTCGCGGAGGATCGAGGTGCAGGTGTGCGCTGCCATGTGTCCATGCGCTGCAAAAGGTAAAGGTAAAGGTGGGGAAGAGCCTCCACAGGCTTAACTTCCCGGTTTTAACGTCTAGCTTTAGACCATTACTTGATCTGCCCGACGCGCCAAGTGCAGTACCCCCCACTAGTAGTGAATGGGTCCCGGGGAGGCCTGTGCCGAAGCCTTGGCGATTCTATTAGGCGTTCCCGAAGGAATTGGCTTGGATTGGCGCTGAGCCAGGCTGCAGCGTGTAATGCTGCGAGAAGCCCTCTTCGGCTGCCAAGCGGTGAGGGCGGGCGGGGCGCATCACCAGCGGTTCATCCAGCAGCTGCATCGCGCGGCGCACGAGGTCGGGGCGGGGGCGCCGGGGCAGGGGCTGGGAGCCCAGCAGGCAGGTCGGGGCCGACTGGGCAGGCGGCGGCGGCACTGGCTGCTGGTCCCAGGGAGGCAGCGGGATGGGCAGATGCCGGACGGGCTGCTCCTGCTGCTGCTGAAGCTGCGACGGTGTGTGCTGTGCAGCGACCTGCACTACAGTTGTCGCTGGCACCAGCGTGAGCACAATGCTCCGCTTCGAGGCCTGGCTCGGCAGCGGCACCAGCAGGGGTGTTGCCGGCGACATGGGCAGCTGCTGGTACAGCGCCGGCCCCGGCTGCTGCTGCTGCCACAGCGCATGCAAGGCTTCTGGCCAGCAGGTCTGCTTCGGTTCCTGGGCCGCCGGCGCTGACGACTGCGTGCCTGGGCTGTCCACCGCTGGCGCGCAGTCCTCAGCAAGCGCCGCACGGCCGCGCTTCTGGCCCCGCCCCTCGTGCTGCTGCTGTCGCTGCGTCCGCTTCCTCTGGTGCTGCTGGGGGCTGCCGCACCGCGTCTCGTGGGCCACTTGTTGCTGGCGTCTGCACATCCTGTAGTCCTGCTGAGCAGGGAAGGGCAGGCAAGCCGGTTTCAAGATGTCCTGGCACGTGCAGTGAGGTGCACCTCAAGCAGGCTGTACCGGCAGTTCCGCACAGCCCGCTCCCCCATGCTTGCACGCGCGCACCTCATTGTATCCTGCCTGCAGCTCCTCAAAGCACCCCGGCACTTGGCAGCCGTGCAGCTCCGCACCCTCCCCGCTCAGCCAGATGGAGGGCGGGCTGGTTGCGGTGCTGCTGGCGGCCCGCACCGCGCGCGCGGCGGGGGGCCAGCTGCCCACATGCTGTGGGGCGACGTGACCTCCCGGCCCGACGCTCTCGGACGGGCCTGCTGTGGGCCCCACGGCGCTGCATGGGGCGGGCAATGAACAGGGGCAACGTGGGGCCGAACTCGTGATCGCAGCCTGCTAGCAGGCCTTTTGGTTGCGCTGGGTTGCTTCCCATGGGACCATGCCGGTCTCTGGAGTCTATCGGCGTGCAATGCAGGCCTGAACAAAGGCCCGACGGCAGAGGGCCCGCTCACCCTTGCACATTTGGTGGCTGCTGGAAGGGTAAGTTGGGCTTTGTTTCGTCAATATGATGAATGATGAATGTGCATACGCATGCCTGTGCATGGAATGACAACGAACAAAACGTGCACGACACCTTCGGCCTGGCTGCCAGCAGTGCCCTCAGGACTACCCTCCGGATACCTGAGTAACATAGCTTCCAGGGCTGTCAGGAGGCTCTCCATTCCCCAGGCAGAGGATCCGAGTGAGCGGGGGATCCCCTCCTGCAGGCAGCTTTGGGTTTGCGCATGCCGCCGTCTGGGCTTGTGCCGCCCGGCTGGCGAGCTGATCCCCGCTGGAGCCCCCGGCAACAGCTGCCATCAGCCAGCGGTGCCAGTCGATGGCAGTTGCAGGCTCACGTGAGCACAGCAGAGGATGTGCAGCCTTAGGGCATGTTTAAATGGACATACGGGGGCGGAGAGGAGAGTGGCATCCACTGGCAGTAGTGGCGGCGGCGGGCAGCGCTAGCGGCGTCGGCAGAGCATCAGTGCTGGTGCCTGCCGTCAGGCCTCTGGCGCAGTGGCCCGCCTGGGTGGGGCAAGTGTCATTTGGATCACTTTACAATGGGACATACAGGGAGGAATCGCGGGGAGGGCGTTGTGTCGCTCGGAGGGGGGTGGCTGGAGCCAAGCACTCAAACTTGCAGCACTCGAATAGCAGTGAGCGCCGACACAAAATCTATGGCGGAAAAAGAATCGTGGCAGCTCCCAATTGGGAGGTTAATCAGAGGCCGGTGCTATCACGGGACTTCTACTTATGGGGAGGTCTTGTAGTAGGCTGGGGGCTGCGCCAGGCAGCGGGGCATTTCATGGGATGAAGGATATGGAGAGCAGAAAAGAAACGTCGGTCGGGGAAACTAGAGAAGCTGGACGATCAGGCGCTGGCGGCGGGCAGGATGATGAGCAGGTTTCCGGTGCACCCCGTGCCGTCAACGCACGGCACGACGTAGGTGGCGGAGGGGGCGCGCGCCAGCGGGGACGCGCGCCCCGGCGCCGCCCCGGTGGCCGCCACGGCCGCCGCCGCCGCCGCGGCCGCGGCGGGGGTCAGGCTGCCGGCGCGGGCCAGCGTCATCGGCTGCCGCGGCACCAAGCTGGCGAGCGTGGCTGAGTCGGCAGGGGTAATGGCGGCCAGAGGCTGCACCCCTGCCGGGGCGACCGGCGCCGCCCTGGTGGCCTGCGCCGCGCCGGGGACGCCCCACTCGCAGCTGCCAAAGCCGAGGCTGAGGGGCAGGCTGGGGGACGGGGATGGGGAGGCGGTCCGCGCCGGCACGGCCGGCACGCCGCCCGCGCCCGCCGCCGGCCCGGCCAGGCGGTGACGCTTTGCCGCCTTCGGCGCCTTGTCGTCGTCGGCGGCGGCGGCGGAGGCTGCCCGCAGGTGCAGGCCCAGGCGCTCGTTGAACTGCTGCAGCTCCTCGATGCCTGGCATGTCACGGAGCTCGGGCTGCGGCCAGGCGGGGCGGCAGGGCACCAAGACGCGGCAGCTGGGTGAGCAGGCTGGCGAATGGGCCGGCGGGGCGGCGTGCCGAGGCCCCGGCGGCGGCAGCAGCACGCAGGCAGGCATGGCGGCTCAGGCTGGCAGGCAGGCAGCTGAGGCAGGCAGGCAGCGAAGCACGCATGCCAGCAGGCAGGCAGGCAAGCAGGCAAGCAGGTGTGGGCGCCTCACCAGCGGTTCATCCAGCAGCTGCATCGCGCGGCGCACGAGGTCGGGGCGGGGGCGCTGGGGCAGGGGCTGGGAGCCCAGCAGGCACGACAGCTCCAGCAGGTCGGCTGGCACCGGCGGCAGCTGCTCAACGTCGATGTGCACAGCGGCGGCCGGGCGCGCCGAGGGCGGCGGCGGCAGCGCGGCCGCGGGCGCCGCCGCCGAGGGCTGCCCCGCGGCGGGGCGGGGCGCCGCGGCCTCTGCGCCCTGCGACACCGGCAGCGGCGTGAGGGGCAGCGGGGTGCGTGGGGTGGTGGGCTGCTGCGGCTGCGCGTCCTCTAGGCTAAGCAACAGCAGCTGCTGGTACTGGTGCCGCTGGTGCTGCTGGTGCAGCTGCCACTGGTGCTGCATCAGCCGCTGGTCCTGCTGCATCAGCTGTTGCTGCTGCGCCTGGTGCTGCTGGTCCTGCTGCATCAGCTGCTGCTGCTGCCGCTGGTGCTGCTGGTCCTGCTGCATCAGCTGTTGCTGCTGCGCCTGGTGCTGCTGGTCCTGCTGCATCAGCTGCTGCTGCTGCCGCTGGTGCTGCTGGTCCTGCTGCATCAGCTGCTGCTGCTGCCGCTGGTGCTGCTGGTCCTGCTGCATCAGCTGCTGCTGCTGCCGCTGGTGCTGCTGGTCCTGCTGCATCAGCTGCTGCTGCTGCCACTGGTTCTGCTGGTCCTGCTGCATCAGCTGCTGCTGCTGCATCATCAGGCCCAGCAGCTGGTGCCAGCAGGCGGCTGGAGGGCAGCCCACTGGCGCCGCCGCCAAAGCCGCCCCGGCAGCCTGCCCACCGCCACCTGCCGGCGCCGCCGCCGGCGCAGCAGCGCCCTGAGCCTGCCCCGGCCATTCGTCCCGCCCGCGCTTCTGCCCCTGCATGCTGCCCTGCCGCGGCAGCGGCAGGGCATGCGCCAGCAGTGGCACCTGCTGCTGCTGCTGCCGCGTCGGCGCCGGGGCCTGCGCGGCCTGCGCCGCCGGCGCCCCGCCCTCCTCCCGCATCTGCCGCAGCAGGCGGTTGCGCTGGTGGCGCTGCAGGCTCCTGCGGCAGCTGTGCCTGGCCTTGTCAAAGGCCTCCAGGTCGTGCAGCTTGCCGCACTGCTGGCAGTGCCGCACCAGCCGCCCCTCCATCTCAAAGCTGGGCGCGTGCTTGTGGAGAGGGCAGATCCGGTAGGTCTGCAAGGCAGGCGGGGGAGGGGCAGGGGGCGGCGGGAGGGCGAGGCACGTGGACGGCAGGGTCAGCTGGGGGCTGGCAGCATGGGAGCTCGCTCCCCGGGCTGCTCGCCGGCCCGGCGGTCCCGCCCCCGGAAGCTGCCGCCGAAGGCGGGGAGGCAGGTGCGGCGGCAGGCGCCGCGACAGCCCTCTCTCCCACGCCCCCACCTCGCTGTAGCCTGGCTGCAGCGCCTCCACGCAGCCGGGCACGCGGCACATGCGGCGCGACCCGGCGCGCTGCTGGCTGAGCGGGGGCGTCAGGGTGGACGGGCAGGAGCTGTGTGTGCTAGTGCTCTTGGCGGCGGGAGCGGCGCTGGCGGTGGCCGTGGCGGCTTCTGCGGCTGGCCGCACTGCATCGAGGCAAAGGAGCAGCGGGGTGCAGAGGGGTTTGGGAGGCGAACGCGGCTGACGATTGGCTCAGCCGGTTGTCAGCCGCCAAAAGCACCATTGGCGGACTTCATCTGCCGCCGCGTTCGGGTCCAGGCTGCCGACCCACCCAGGCCCCTGCATTTCCCAAGGCACTCGGCTGGGGTGGCTGTGTTCACCTGTGAGTGGCCAAGCATGTGAGTTCATGACTGCAGGATGCAAGGGTGGGAGGCGGGAGTGCCCGACCCCCGCGTGATAGTGCCTGGGAGGGACTCCTGAATGCGAGTATTTATTCAAAGAGCTGACCCGATTGTCAGACGGGCACCAGCTACAAGGCCGCGGCCTCTGACACTCGGGCCACAACGCCAGCTGGCGAAGCACAGCTACCGATGCTGCCAGCAACGGCGGCCACCCTCAAACCACCTCTCAACGCCAGCGGACTTGGGTATAAGCCGGCTGCCAAGGGGCTGGATGATTGGCATTCACCTTCCCTGCCAGTTCTTGGCCGCCTCGCAGCCACCGACCCCCCGCCCGGAGGCGGGGCGTCACCTCCCCGGCACCTCCCATGGGTCATGCCAGGCTGGGTTTGGCTGGCTGAGCATCTTTTAAAGCACTCTGACTGCTCAGAAAGAGCTGCACACTGCCCAGCGGCAGCCTGCACACGACGGGCGGCTTTACAGGCGGGACTGGCTGTTGGAACGTTCCGCACACACCCCTTCTCCTCACTCCACCCCAGTGATGCGCGCCAACAGGAAGACCTGCAATAGGTCTGCAATGAGAAGGGTGTCGAGCTGGGCGGGCATCGCACTGTAATGCTCCACGCAAGCCTGGTGCGGGCTACAGCCCCCGGAAGGCAGCGCTGCCGCACGATGGCAACGGCAGCAGCGCCATGCGGCGCCGTGCTTGTAAGCTGTGGGCTGGCTTGGTTGGATTGATGGCAGCATACCTTCTGCCACGTCTGCTTGCATCCGGCAAACCTGTGACAGCCCAGGAAGCTCGTGGCAAGCCGGCATCTGGGCAGCCCAGGCGTCAGGGGCCAGGCGCAAGCAGCCAGCCAGTGGCGGGTGGAGGATGACGCTTATTGACAATTATTGTTAGCATGCCGCAGCGCACATTGATGAGCGTGAGGATCAAAAAGCAACAGCGGACCAGCCTGCCTGGGAGCCTGACTGAGATGCGACATGCGATCGCCGCCGCCGCTGGCGCTGATGTGGCAGCTTGGGATAGGAGGATAACTGATGCAGATGCCGGCCCGGAAATGAGGGCTGGACTAACTACTGTGGTGGAGGCTGCCATCACACGCCGCGTCAGTCGCATGCCTACCCGCTGCTCCGCCACCCAGCCGCAGCAGCTCCAGCACACCCAGCAGCGAGCACAGGCAGCCCGCTCCTCACCCGCGATGCTGCGGCAGCTAGCTGGGCGCGCCGCCACCGCCGCCGCCGCCGGGGGCGGCGCCCGCCGCTCGCTGCACCGCTCCTCCCTGGTGTGCCTGGCAGCCAAGCAGGTGGAGGTGAGCTGCCCCCACGGGTGCCTTGTTGCGGGAAAGGAGTTTGTGAAAGAAGCGATAGCCCGTTGACTCCGCTGCCGCCCCCTGCACAGCCCGCTCGCGAGCCCCGCCACAGCCGCCTGTCCAGCAGAAGCCCGCGCCCCGCCCCGCTGCAGGTGTCTCACATCCTGCTGAGCCCCGACAAGAAGGGCCTGCTGCCCCAGCTGCGCCAGCAGATCCAGGCGGGCGAGGCCAGCCTGGCGGCGCTGGCAGCGGAGCACAGCCAGTGCCCCAGCCGGAGGTGAGGCGGGGGCCACCTGTATGGCCCATGGCAGGGAGGAGCTGCGGCTAGCGCTGTGGCATGGCCTGCCCTGTGTGGCACGTGCATGTTTGCAAGGGTCGAGACCGGATCTGCACAAGCTGGCTACAGCCGCCTCCGCATGGCCGCCCACCACTCTGCCGCCCCCCCCGCCCCTCGCAGCAACGGCGGCAGCCTGGGGTGGATCGCCAAGGGCCAGACGGTGGCGGAGTTTGAGGAGGCGGCCTTTGGGTGCGCCCCAGGAGCCCTGGCCATGTGCGAGACGCGGTTCGGCGTGCACCTGCTGACGGTGACGGCGGAGCGGTGAGGGGCGAGGCGCGGTCGCCGCCGCTGGGGTCCCCCCTGGGCCGCCGCTGGGCGCGGGCTGATGACCGGCCCGAGCCGGGGACGCCCTGCCAGCGCCGTGCTGCGCCGCGCAGGCCTGCCGCATGCCAAGCCTTGCGTCCCCTCCCCCTCACCACCACCTGCACTCTCTCCTGCCTGCCAGCTCACGCCCCGCGTGCCCACCACGCCGCCCCTGCGTTTTGTGCCGCAGGCAGGCGGCCGAGGTGAGGCACATGTCGGTGCAGGAGCTGGCGGAGTCGCTGGCGGCGCGCAGCGCTGGCGCCAACGAGGACGTGCAGGTGCGCTGGGGGCGTGGATACCTGTTGCTGCTACTGTCGGTAGGGGACGGTGGGCCGGTCTCAGAGTGGGCTGGGCGCGTGGTTTAACATGGGTAGGTGAGTGGTGGTAGCGCTGGGCCGGTCTCAGAGTGGGCTGGGGGCGTGGTTACACATGGGCAGGCGAGTGGTGGTAGGGCCGGCACCACAGGCCACCACAGGCCACCACAGGCCCGCTCTGCGCCCTGCCACGCACTGCTGCCTCCCCTCCATCGCGCCTGCGCACCTGCATGCTTACGCGCGGCTGTTGCACCCGGGGCGCGCGTGCTGCGCAGTATGTGGATGTGCGGGAGGAGCGGGAGGAGGAGCTGGCACGCCTGCCCCACTTCCAGCTGCTGCCGCTCAGCAGGTGCGCGCCCGGCCCGCCTCGGTGCCGCCTGGTGCATGTGTTTGCCGCCAGAGCCTGCGTTCCCAGTGCCGCTGGCAAAAACTGAAGCTGCAGCGTCACGCTGCGTGGACCCCGCTGCCGGCTCGGCCCTTTCCACTTGCCCCTGCCCGCTCGCTCCTGCCCGCCGGCTGCTGCCCGCTGCTCGCTGGCCCCTGCCCGCTGGCCCCTGCCTGCTGGCCTCTGCTCACTGCCCGCTGCCGCCTCTTGGCGCTCCTGCCGCAGGTTTGAGTCTTGGAGCGCCCAGATCGGCTCGCTGCTGGACAAGGAGAAGGAGACGGTGTGCCTGTGCCACCACGGCGTGCGCAGCATGCAGATGAGCCAGTGGCTGCTCCAGCAGGGGTTCACAAACGTGCGCAACGTGACGGGCGGCATCGCAGCCTACGCCGCCATCGACCCCTCCGTGCCAGAGTACTGACCGGCGTCAGGCCAGCGGCGCCAGCTGGCGCTGCGGCCCAGGCGGCGGCCATCTGCTCCGAACCAGCGCCCTGGCCTGCGCACCATGCAGTCCATGTGTGGCTGCTCGATGGCCCAGGGGAGTCCCAAATTTGTTCGGACAATTGGTTGCGTCGATTGGAACAATCAGTCCTGGCTCAGAGGGTCAAATGGAAAGCGCCGCACCCCATGGTCAACATAACGCACCGCCCCGCCGCTGCGTTGTCCTTGTTCTGTGAGTCAAGCAAAAAAGTCAGTCCTCGCATGCTGGGCAGGCTCGCCTGCTGGGCAGCCCTGCCACTGCATGAGCCGCCTGAACGGGCTGCGCCAGGCCAGGTGACCGCCTCAGGTGGCGGGCGGCGCGGCGGGCGGCGCCTCTGCCGCCGCCAGCCGTGCTAGCAGCGCCTGCACCTTGGCATCCTTGAGCCGCACCAGCTGCTCCAGCTTGCTGATCTTGGTCTCAAGGATCTGCGGGGCGGGGTGGGCGGGGTGGGTATATGAGTGTGTTGTTGGTGTGTGTGGGCACGGTGTGGTGTAGTGGATGGGGCGGGATGGCACGGGGAGGCCAGATGGGTGGGGATGGAGGGCGACAGGGATAGCAGGGCAGGCCACACAGCCAGCAGCGAGCAGGGGCAGCATGGCAGCAGCATGGGAGGCGACACCACCCCCTGCCCATCCACCATCCACCCCCTGACCAACCCCTGACCATCCACACTGGCACGCAGGCGCTGGCGCTGGCGCCGCCCCCCATCCGCGCCCCGCCCACCTGGTTGGTTTCTCGCAGCTCCTCCAGCTGCTGCTCCTTGTCTGCTAGGCTGGCATGTAGCGCCTGGTCGAGCGTGGGGAAGGCGGCGGCGGCGGCGGGGTGCCCCAGTGCGCCGGCCGCAAGCAGCTTGCTTGGCACCTCGCCCGCAAGACGAAGCGCTGCGATGCTGTCTGCCGCGGCGGCGGCGGCGGCCGGCGCCTTGGCATCGGGCGCCGCCGCAGCCTGGTCTGCTGCCTCCGCCGCCGCGCCGCCGCTGCCACCCTGGCGTGGCAGCGGGCGGCTGCCCTGCTCTTGGAAGCGAGCCATCTTGTGCCGCACCAGCTTGAGCACCCTCTCCACGGCGCCCGCCTCGGCATTGGCCACCGCCTCGCAGTGCTCCCGCGCCAGCGCAAACCCCATGCGCCTGAACACCTGCGGGCAGCACCCATGGGAAAGGCGTGAAGGCACGCATTCACAATGGATGCTCGCCCGAAAGCTCCAGAGCGATACACCCAAAGGAAAAGGAGAAGAACGCTGCAATCTGCACCCTGCTGCGGCTGGACCGAGCCACGCCAGCACAGCATGCGGGGCCCGCGTGCGCCGCCGCCCTGCCACCGACCTTCTGGTTGAGCGTCGTCCAGTTGTACATTTTCTGCACGCTGTTGTGGGCTGGCGAGTAGTTGTGCACCTCCACCAGCTTGGGGAAGAAGTAGTGCACCAGCTCGGCCATCAACACTGCGCAGGCACGGGGCAGCGGCGCCCGGCAGCGTCGAGCGTCGGGTGGCCGTCGGGTGTGTAGGCCTGGGTGTAACCCTGCCCCCTCATTTTCGCTATGCCGTAGTATGGGTTAAATAACCATGGTTAGCATACTTGGTTATTTCACCGTTAGACAAAACAGTAACCCACCCAAAACCCCGCTAACCCGTACTATGCCATATGTATGCGTTAGAGCGGCGCGTTAGAGCGGCGCTGGCGGCATGAAATGCAGGCAGCATGTTCCAGTTTATGGTGCTAGATGCGTTTCCCATTGACAATTGCACCCTGGGAGCTCTGGAGCATGTATGAGGATTTTTTCTACTCCCTCCAGGCTTAGAGTGACCCCGATTTGCGTGTGCGCTGTCCCCACGCCGCCGTTACTATACCGTCCCCGACAGCGGTTACTATGCCGAATGAACCCTCTCCCAAAGCGTAGTAACCACCCTCAAAATTCGTCTATGCCATAATAACTGATTAGTATGCTAACGTAGCATACTAACCCGTATGGTTACACCCAGGCCTAGTGGGGTGGGCGGGCGGCGGCGGCAGCCAGGCCCTCACCTCCGTCGGCGAAGTCGCGGGTGATTGATTTCTTGGGACGCGACAGCGGAACCGAGTCCACCCACTCGTAGAGCGCCTGCAGCTCCTCCTCTGTGCAGTCTGGCAGAGCCATTGGGCCGGGGGTGCCTGCTCGCGCTTGCACAACTGCCAGCGGGTCTGTCAGCCCCTGATATGAGACCGGTCGATTGCCAGGGTGCAGCAGGGGCCGAGACTGCGCGTTTTGACTTTCAATTCTCTGTCGGTCCTGGGCAGGAGGCGCAAAGCAGCAAGCTTGGGGCGCTAGGAGGCTGGCCGAATTGGATTCCCGAGTGCACAGTTCTCGTGTTTGAAGAAGGGAGGAGCTCCACGTCAGCGGCGACAGACGGGCGGCATCAGAGCGGGAGCACAACCATCCCTCTCTGTGATGGTGGGGCATGTCGGCTCCTCTCTCTACGAGGAGCATTGGGCAGCTGCACTGTGGCTCTTGAGCTCTTCGGCACGCCGGCCTCCATTTGGGCCCTGCTGCCGCCTCTGCTGCCACTCCCAAAGTGCAGGCGGCGGTGGCGCAGTGCGACGCCAGCAGGCCTACATGTGACCTTCCACCGAACTCGTTTGAAATTTCTATTGAACTCAGAGGTTCCAGAAGCTATAATTGACACAGTGAAGAGTGTCAGATTGAATCAATCATTGATGCGCAGGGCGGGGGCCACATGGCGGCGCCCGCATGGGGGCAGACCCGCCCTTACCCACGGCGGGGAGCCGCATTCGGTGGCCAATTGCCTCAAATCGTGCAGCCATGTACAACCGTGTCCTAGATACCAGGAGTGAGACCCTGGCAGACGTGCTGCGTCACTTCGAGCGCCCGTCGGCAACCCTGGCGGCTGCTCAGGTGAGCAGCCTGCGTGTGATGCCAGCGTGACCAGCTGCATGCATGCCTGGGGAGCATGCGCCGCCCCGCGTTCCCTGGTTCTGCGCTCCGCCGCCGCCGCCCCGACGCTGTCCTTCCGAGAGCCTCCCGCCGGCCTCCCCTTCCCCCAGGCTGCTTATGATGCCGGGTCTGGCTGGCGCGACAGAATCGTGCGCGTCGCTGAAGGGCTGGGTGACGCGGTGCGCGATGAGTGGCTGCACGTCTCCCGGTGAGCAGCTGCCAGCAAGCCTGCGCACACACGGCTCCGTGGCTTCGGTCTGTGCTTCATCTCAGAGCCAGAACAATGGGCGCAGCTGCCGACACGTTCCATGCACGCTCACCCACGCACCGCCCCGCCGCCCGCCCTGCTGACAGGCTTACGATCCCCAAACTTCTGCGCATGTGTGCTCCCCCCCGCAGGTTTGTCGCCACGGCCGGCGACCGCCTGGCCGCGCTGGAGCAGGCGTGGCAGCGCGGCGGCGCGGGCGGGCGCGGCAGGGCGGACGCAGACTGCGCGGCGCTGCAGCGCCAGGTCAGCGGCGCCTGCTGCGTCATCCACGGCTGCACGGTGCTGGCCATTCAAGGTGGGGCCGCCCCCGAGGCCTGCTCCCGCCTGCTCGCCTCAGCCAGCCTGATGGTTGGATCGGGGCGGCGGGCCCTCGTGGCCGCCCTGGTAGCCAGGTGCGCACGCCCCCCACGCATCCCTGCCGCGCCTGCCGACCCTATGCTCCCAGCGTGCCTTGCTGGCGGGCCCTGCCTGGCTTGGCCAAGCTGAGCTCAGCAGGCCCCTCCTCGCGCCCAGCCGCGGCCGCCCCTGCGCCCTCCCTCCCCCCGCAGCGACGACCGGCTGGCCACGACTGTGGCGGCCAGCCAGGTGTGCGCCATGGTGGGCCTGCTCCACATGCTGGCCACACACCCGGCCTGCCGCGGCGCCTGCCCGGCGTTTGTTGCGGGCCCCGCGCCGCCGCAGGCCTTTGCCCGCTGGCTGCGGGCGCTGGTGGACGCGCTGCTGGCGCTGGGCGGCAGGCCGGCGGTCGAGGGTGGGTGAGCTGGCGCCAGCTGGCGCCGGCTGGCGCCGAGTCGCCCGCGCATTGTTTTTTGCGGCCTGACTCTGGGCGCCGCAAGCGCGCCGCCGCCGCAGCCTGCCCGGGCCGCTCCTCCTCCTCCTCCTGTGCTGCCGTTCCAGCAACGGCGCTGCCTGCCGCGCCGCCCTGCCCTGCCTTGCCCTACCAGTGCAGGCGGGGGCCTGGCCGTCGCGCTGGAGCACTACACAGGCCTCTGCACCAGCCTGCTGATGAACGACTCTTATGTACTGGGCGGCCTGCACGCCGCAGCCCAGTCAGACGCGGCGTTGTGCGAGCGCATGCTGCGCCTGCTGGTGCTCCACTCCCTGCCCGCGGCCGCCGCCAAGGGGGGGCTGCTGCCGGCGCCCGGCGGCCAAGGCGGCGCCGCCGCCGCCGACGACGACGCTGCGCCGCCGCGCGGCGAAGGCGGCAAGCACCCGCTGTCTTTCCTGTGCAGCCTGCTGTGGCTGCTGACGGCGGGCTGCCTAAAGGCGCCGCTGGTGGCGCTGATGCACGGCCCCGAGGCCATGGCGCCGGTGCGACTGGCGGCGGCGGCGCTGCAGCGCCTGCCCGCGCAGTGCCCCGCCGGCCTGCCCCCGCTCCTGTTCTGGAGCGCCCATGTGGCGCTGGCCTCGATGCTGCGCTCGGGCCGGGATGTGCTGGCCCTGTGCGAGTGCTGCCGCGCGGCGCGGCCGCACGAGTCGTCGCTGGGCGACGCCGACGCCGCGGCGTGGCGCGTGGTGGGCCTGGTGCCGCGCGCCGCAGCTGTCATCCGCCAGGCGGCGGCCGAGCTGCGGGCGCCAGCGCCGGCGCCAGCGCCAGCAGCCGGCGGCAATCAGGCGACAGACGGGGCGGCGGCGCATTCGACGGTGCTGGCGGCCCCCCGCCGCGAGGTGCTGGCGGACATTCTGGCCAGCCTGGCGCGCACGTGGATCGTGGCACTGCAGCTGGCGGTCACCGTGCGCAGCGTGGAAAGCGTGGCGCAGGTGGAGGCGTACGTCGCCGCCGCGGACGCCGGCCTGCGCCTGCTGCCGCTGCTGGCGGGGCTGCAGGCGGAGCGGGAGGTGGCAGCCGGCGGTACCGGCAGTACCGGTACCGGCGGTACCACGATGGGCGAGGACATCCCGATCGGCCAGGAGTTTGCCACCCTGGCGGATTTGTTGGTGGTGGTGTGGAGCCACCTGGGCACCCTCGCCGCCGCCTACGGCTCCAACCTGATCGACGAGCAGAAGAGCTGCACCCACGCCCAGCCGCAGGCCCCGCCCTGTACCGCAGCGTACCGCTCCCTGGCCCCGCGCCTGTACCACCTGCACGCCACCGCCGCGCGCGCGGTGCACTGGGCCGCCGCCGCGGCGCCGGGGCAGGCCGCCGAGCTGCCGCTGCTGCGCGACTGGCCGCGCATGCTGGGGCCCACATCTTTGGACTTCTCCTCAGCCCTCGCCTGCTCCACCCTGGCAAACATAGAAGATAATAAGGCAGCCGCGGCCAGCCGCAGCGGCGACGATGGCGGCGACAGCGGCAGCGACGACGGCGGCGACGGCCGCCCCGCGCCACGCTGGTGCGGCGCCTGCCCCGGCATGTGCATGCCCCGCCAGCTGGCGCTGAATCCATGCAGCAGCAGCAGCAGCAGCAGCAGCAGCAGCAGCAGCAGCAGGGGATCCCTTTGTCGCAGAATGCTTGTGTTCGCTCCATTCTGGAGCCGGGCCGCTGCCGACGGGGCCGCCCCCTGCCCAGCCGCTGCCCCGCCACCCACCCCTCACACCTGCCACTGTCCGCAGGCCCCTCACCGACGGCGACCTGCGGCGCATGTGCGCCGCGCACGCCGCTCTGCTGCACATGGCGGCGGCACGCCTGCCGCCTGCGGGCCTGCTGCATCGGTTTGACTCGGGCCTGCAGGAGCAGGTGCTGCTCAACCTTGCCCACGCAGCCGGATACGCCCCGCCTGCCTGCGTTACGCCAGAGCTGGAGTCTGCCCTGGTTCATGGGCTGCGCCAGCTGGTGAGCGGTGGCAGCAGGCGTGGCGCGACTGTCGCGCCTCCCGTGCTGCGGGCGCCCGCACTTGGTGCGGGCGTGCGGCGGTGTGCCCCACCCTGCCGCACCTTTTTTTCTTGCATTGCAGGCCGCCGCCGAGCCCACGCGCCTCCGCCTCGGCATTGCCACACACATCCTGCACGCCACCTCCTTCTCTGCCCACGCCGCGGCCGCCCTGGTGCGCGGCGGCAGCCTCCCGCCGCTGCTCGCCCTGGCACGGCGCTGCATGGCCTCGCCCGAGCCTCCCACCCAAGTCCAGGTGGGCTGGGGCGGGGAGAGCTGGGGCCTCTGTCTCTGGCCTGCGCATGTTTGGCAGCCGAGCTGCATGAGGGGCGCCCAAGGGGCGCCCAGCTGCGCAGCGCGGCGCCTGCGGCCGGCGGCAGCTCCAGGGAAGCTGCCCGCCCGCCGCTCGTCGCGGCGCAGGCAGCTGGCGGGCGCGGCCTTAAGCAGGGCGGCGCGGCCGGGTGCCTGCAGGTGTTGGTGTTCCTTCAGAGGCTCCTTGTCCTGCTGTCAAGGCTGGACTATTTTGGCGACGTCTCCGGCGACGGCGGCGAGGAGGGCAGCCTGGATGGCAGGCAGGAAGGCAGCCCCGCCAGCCGGCAACAGGCGGGAGGCGCCGAGGCGGGCGCCGAGGCCCGCCTGGCTGCCGCCAGGTCTGGCAGCGGCGGCGATGGCGGGCACGCCGGCGCCAGCGGGGCGGCCGGCCCGCCGGCCCGGGCGCCCGTCGCGGTGCCTGCGGCGCGGGAGGCTGGCAGGCTGTGGGATGTGGTGGTGGAGGCGATGGAGGCTCTGGATGAGGCTCTGGAGGGGGCGCATGAGGCGGCTGCCACCTTGGCCTCGTTCGAGCGGCAGGTACTGGAGCGGCTGCTTCCGCTGGCCGAGGCGGTTGCCGAGCTGCTGTACCAGCGGTACCAGCAGCCGGAGCAGGTGGAAGCTGCCCGGCTGGAGCTGGCGCGCAGCGCGGTGGGCCGCAGCTGCGCCTACCTGGGGTGTGCCAACCTGGGCGGCCTGGGTGGCGGCGCGGCGGGGCAGGGCGAGGGAAGCCAGCGCTGCTCCGGGTGCCGTGTGGCCTGGTACTGCGGCACCGCCTGCTCCCACGCCGACTGGCGGCGCGGCGGGCACAGGCGCGTGTGCAAGGCGCTGGCAGCGGAGCGGCGGGCCCAGCAGCAGCAGCGGCAGCAGGAGGAGGGTTGAGAGGGCAGGCATGAATGCATGTGTCGCACCGCTTCGGAGGATTCTGATGAGAGTGCAATTTTTCCTGCTGCACCATAATGCTTGCCCAACTGTTCACGGCCACTGGAAAGCATCCATTGTTCAAAGGCCGATCAGCATTGTTCCAGCAAGGTTACCGACGGCGCTGGCGCCGCCATGTCAGCCTCCCCGCATTCAGTTGCGGTGCCGATCTGCCCAGAGCCTGGACTGCGAACAGGCACTCGCGCATAAATCACCAGAGCCTCTGACGGTTGTCTACCGGCGAGTGGTTGAGGCTGGCTTGCGCAAATCTCACTTGATCGGTTGGGCGAATTCGTGTTTGAAGCGCTCATGGGAGTGTGAGTCATGCAGCTCTTTGCAGGGGTATAGGCGCTGCTTGACTCGAGCGATTGACTTGACATCTTCCTCCCTGGCCCTCTGCAGGCCCGATAGCCGCCGCCATGTTGTTGTTGTGACAGCGGAGAAGGGCGGCCTGCCTTTAATTGACCTGCAGCAGGATGCGCGTCGGGGCGGCGGCGGCAGCGGCAGTGCCGGCGTAAGCGCCAGCGAGGCGCGGTCCATCCTCCACCGCTGCTCCTTTGCCGCAGCAGCCCTCATCGCCACGGTTGTGCTGTCGGCCATGGCCTACAACCACTGCGCGGTGTTCGGCAGCAGCCAGTTTGTGGTCGCCGCGGGCGCGGCCACCCGCGCCGCCGCCTCGCCCGCCGCCAGCGGGCCTAGCACCGGGGACCGCCGCAGGCGGCCACGCGTCTACATGCTGGCCAACAACCCCGCCGCCAACGCCACCTGGGGCAGGCTGCAGATAGGGAAGCAGGACTTGGTCGTCATGTTCAACCTGGCCGACCCGCTGGCGCACTTTGACCACGTGCCGCCGCAGCAGATGGTCATCTTCCTGCGGCAGCAGCCCATGCTCAAGGGCGTGATCAACGAGGAGAAGCTGGGCGAGCTGGCGCAGCGCTTCCACCGCATCGTGTTTGTGACGTGCCAGCTGGTGCGCCAGATCGGCGAAGGCGACGCGCTGCTGCTGCAGCAGCTGCTGGCGGTGCCCCACTTTGAGTCCTTTGACTACAAGTCAGACTTCATGCTGTGGGTGTGGAGCGACTACAAGTTCAGCAAGATCGTGAAGCTGCCCAGTACCGGCTACATCACGTACAAGTACTTCCAGCGGTACATGCCCACCCACGACGTCGTGCTGGTGGGGTTCAGCGGCGAGGGTGAGCCCGCCCACAACTGGCAGTTCGAGCAGCAGGTGTTTGCCGACCACGGCGTGCGCCACATGTAACGCGCTGCGCCAGCAGAGCGCCTGCACCTGACGTCGCCAGTGCTGGTGGCAGCGTCACGTAGTGTAGGGGTAGGGGACGAGTGCAGCTTTGCAGATGTGCTGTGCCTGCCGGTGGATGGTGGCAAAATGAGTGCATGTGTGGTGTGCCAGCTAGAGGTGCTGCCAGGACCTGTAGCTGCCACTGCTGCTGTGTCCACCATTGGGCGGGGTTTCGGCGGTGGGCGGGGCCGGCGGCGCAGCTAAGCGCGCTGGCACCTTGATATGTGCCAGATACCTGATCGGGATATGCGCAGCCGCATGGGAGAGAGATGGAGCGGCGGCAGGGCGAGAACCGGGCGCCAAGGTTGGGCGAGGCAGGAGGAAGGTTGCGCATGGGCGCACATGCATGAAGCATTCCCGCTGGTGCGGGCCGTATTTGCCTGCAGGACATCGGTGCTGGGCTGCCCCGTGTGCCCGCGTGACCTCCACCATGCAAGCCCACCCGTCTCTCCACCGTCCGGCTACCGGCGCGCACTGTGCGGGCCCAGCGGCACGGCATGCAGTCCTCTCGGGCCACAGGAGCCCCCGGGTGGCGCCCGCCTCGGTGCCCTGGGCCGCCGCCGCCGCCGCTCCCGACAGCCCCTCGCTGCCGCCGCCCGCGCCACGCGGCAGCAGCACCCGCTGCCGTGCCAGCAAGCAGCCAGAGCAAGGCTTCTTCGGCCAAGCCGACCCCAGCGGTGCGCGGCAGCATGGTTCCTGCCTTGTGTGCATTCTCAGGCAGCCTGCTGCCGCCTGCTGCCCGCGGCGTCTCGGCCCGCCTCCCCAGACCTGATCGCCGCCGCTCCCGCCGTTGCCCGCTGCAGCCCAGGTGCTGCCTGTGAAGAGCGGGCTGTCTGGCGACATCACCAAGCGCAGCAAGTCACGCTGGGAGTCTGACTTTATTTGGAACAAGGTGGGCGGGCGGGTAGGCAGAGTGGGCGGGTGGTGGGGAGAGGCGAGAGGTGGGGGCGTGATGTTGTGTGTTGGAGAAGCGGCGAGTGCATGCAGCAGGGGAGAAGCAGCAGGCGGAAAAGGTTGCCTGCCTCTGCCTGGCCCCCGTTGTGCCGCATGCCGGCCGGCCTCGCCGCGCCTTGCATCCTCTGCCGGCCTAGCCTGCGACCCCCCACCCACCCTCCCTCCCTTCCTGCCTGGTGCGTCTTGCGCAGGACTGGGCCAAGCAGCTGGACTATGAGGAAAGCCTGCGCAAGCAGCAGGAGGAGGGGGAGCGGCTGCGGGCCGAGGGCGGCGGCGGCGGCGACGGCAAGGGCTTCCTCAGCCTGCGCAGCAAGGTCGACCTCAACAGCATGGACGTCGACCTGAGCCAGCAGCTGCGGGCACGCAAGAGCAGCGGCGCCGCCGCCTCCTCCTCCTCCTCCTCCTCCCCGGCCGCGCCCCGCCAGCCGCGGCCGCGCCAGGCGCCGCGGTTCGCAACCGTGCCGCCCACCCGCGTGGAGCAGCGGCAGTGGCAGCGGTCGGGCAAGTTTTCCCGCAAGGTGGTGGCGGTGGCTCCCACCAACGAGGCCGACCAGGTGCGGTTGAACTGCCTGCCTGCCTGCCCTGCCTGCCTGTTGGTGTGTGTGCCTCAGTCGGCACGGGCCCTTGCCTTGGGCATCCTTTCTACTGCTCCGGCCGCGCCAGCATGCATGCCCCGCCCTCACCCCGCCTTCCCCACACAACAGAACACAATCGTCCCCACCCTGTGGCCGTCCTGCCCGCCCAAACCCTGCACACTACCTGCCTGCCCGCAGGAGGCGCTGGATGCCAAGGTGGAGGCTGAGCGGCGGCGGTACGACGAGCTCAAGGCGGAGCTTCAGGCCTGGGCCTCGGGCCTCACGCTGGCCTGCCTGGCCGCCACCTTTGCCTTCTACGGCAGGTGGGGAACCATGGGGAGGGGCTCTTCTTGAGAGCATTTGGGGCCCATCGTCTTGAGTGCCCAGCCTCACGCCACACCCCGGCCGCGCCGCCCACGCACCCACGCACACACGCGCACAGCAACGCGCTCGCACGCATGCGTGTGCGCACCAGCCCAGCCGCCTGCCGCTGCGTGCCTGCCGCCTGCGTGCCTGCCGCCGGTGCGTGCAGGGACGTGGCCGCAAGCTACGGCGTGGGCGCCCTGGGAGGCTTGGTCTACCTGCGCCTGCTCAACCGCAGCGTGGACGGCGTGGGCGGCGGGCTGGCGGGCGCGCTGGGCCAGCAGCGCCTGCTCATCCCCATCATCCTGGCCCTGGGCTACAACAGGTGGGGGGGAAGGGGGCGCGGGGGGCTGAGTCGGTTGTGTGCCTGGTTGTGTGCCTATGTGTGGTGGGCCTGGCTGGCTCGCCTGTTTGGTGGCGGCGGTGTGTGGGTGTGGGGTGCGTTTTGCCTGGCCATCACAGCTTCTCGCGCGCAACCAGAGCTCGGCATCAGGACCTGAACACAGTTCCTGAGAGCCTGCCGAGGCATGCACCGCCTGTACTGCCACTTGTACCGCCGTCCGTGCCGCAGGTACAACACGCTGGTGGCGGAGGAGACAGGGCTGGCGCTGCAGCTGGCGCCCATGCTGGTGGGCTTCTTCACCTACAAGGGCGCGGTGCTGGCCCGGCAGTCGCTGGCGCTGTTTGCCGAGCTGGCCGGCAGCGCGCAGGGCGGGCAGCGGGGCGGCGACGGCGGCGGCGGCGAGGTGGGGGAGCAGGAGGCGGGCATGGATGTGGCGTCGGTGGACCGGGCGTTCAGGAAGAAGATGCTCAACGAGATGTGAGGCGCCTTCCGCGCGTGGGGTGTGCCCCCGGGGCAGGCAGCGGCGGCACGCGGCCCTGGCTCCTCCTTGCAGCTGCAGCTGCTGTGTCCCCACCCAGCCCTTCACTTATGTGTCTCTATACTGTGAGAAGAGCGGCCGCCAGCTGCTGCCCGTGTCGTGTGTATGTATTTAAATGTGGCCCCGACAGGCCGTTCCTGCTCCACTCTGCTGCGTGCTCCCCCGTTCCCATGCGCCCTTTCTTTCCACCAAGCCGGACAATGCACCCTTTGCCGATGGATCAGTGCCGGCCGGCTCCCCTGTGAGCGAGTTTGGAGACTTGAATTAAAGTACACAGTTGCTAGAAATCCGAGGAAGACAAGCCGCACACAAGCAGGAGGAGCAGGAGAGAGTCAGGACACACCACCAAGTCCACGCCCAGCGGAGGCATTTGCTGCTCCCCCCAAGCGGCGCGCCCGACGGGCGCGTTGGTTTGGTGGTGGGAGCGGAGCGGGCTCGCGGGCGGCTGGGAGCACGGGGGCGGATTGCGAGCAGCGGCCGCCCCTTCACCCCCACGCCACGCCCTCAGCGCCCGCGGCTATGATTGAAGATGGAAAGCATTTCACACGGAGTCTGCTGCTGCTGCTGGCGGCGGCGCCCGGCGCAGTGGGGGGCAGGCGCAGCCGGCGCCGCCGCGGCCGGCGGCGGCGTGGGCCGGCCCGGGCGCGGAGCTGCGCAGCGCGCCCGGGCCGCCCGCGCCGGCGTTTCGTGCTTCGCGAGGCCCGCCTCACGGCCGGTTGGCGATGTTCTGCGACAGCCAGTCCAGGCCCTCGTACAAGCCTGCATGGTGAGGGAGGGAGGCGGTGGGAGGGTCAGGGTGGAAGGAGCGTGGGTATGCGTTTGTCGGTGTAAAGTGCATGCCCGCTAGGGCTGAGGGTGAGTTGCACGCAGCACACCAGGTGCTGCCGACCCCACTCCGTCGCCACAGCAGGCCTCCACCCTGCACTCACCCTCGCCGGAGGTCGCGCAGCAGCTCTGGATGTACCTGCAGGCGGTACATGGGCGGTACACAGCGCAGGGCACGGTGCAGCGGGGCGGGTCAGCTCCCCCGCAGGGCAAACCAGGCCCCCACAGTCGGCAGGGAGACCGCGCAGGGCTGGAACGGCTGCTGCTGCGGGCAACGGGCAGACCTGCCGTGCCACGCACAGCCCCAGCGCCCCACCACCGCAGCAAGGCACGCCCCCAAGCCCCCGAGGCGCCAATCAGCAGCACCAGGCCAACCAAGCGCTGTGGCGGGTAGGGTGACACCAGGGGCGGCAGCAGCAGCGGCGGCAGGAGCGGCCGCGCGCGCACCAGTGGCGCTGGCGCAGCGAGTGCAGCCCCAGCTTGTCGGTGATCTCTGCCGCGTTCATGGCGTTGGGCAGGTCCTGCTTGTTGGCAAACACCAGCAGCACCGCGTCGCGCAGCTCATCCTGCAGTGCGGCGGCAGGACAGTGCATCGAGAGGGTGGAGAAGGCAGGCGAGGGGCACAGGGCGGCGCGAGGGAGGTGGGCCGCAGGCGGGAGCCCTTGCTGGTGAGAGCTGGGGCTGTGCGGCGCTGGAAAAGAACAAACGGCAATCTGGCGCGGCGGATGAATGGGCGGCTGGGCGGGCAGTGCGAGGCCACCATTGCGGCGGCAGGCCGATGACCTGACGCCACACCACACAGCTGTGCGCCATCAGGCCGACCGTGAACGTGCCTCCGCAAGTCACCTCACCGCAGGCAGCAGCACGAGGGGCAGCGCATCCCTGCCCGCTCGCCACCCCGCAGCCCAGGCCGCACATGGCCGCACATGCGCCCCAGCCACATGCGCCCCCAGGCCGCACCTCGTTGAGCATTCTGTGCAGCTCGTCGCGCGCCTCGCCGATGCGGTCGCGATCGTTGCTATCCACCACGAAGATCAGGCCTTGCGTGTTCTGGAAGTAGTGCCTCCACAGCGGGCGGATCTGCGGGCAGCAAGGCGGGGCGGGTGCAAGGCGGGTGAGCCAGGGCGAAGGCGCACACGATGCCAGCCCCCAACCCAGCAAGGTGGGCAGCTGCCCTCTCTAGCTGCCCTGGAGCTCCTGGCTTCCACCCAGCGCCGGCTGCTGTATTTGAAACCAAATGTGATCCAAAAAGCGCGGCTGCCGCGCCGGGCTGCCGCCCACGAGTGCGGCCACACTCGCCTTGTCCTGGCCGCCCACATCCCACACAGTGAAGCTGATGTTCTTGTACTCCACAGTCTCCACGTTGAAGCCTGCCAACAGGTTGGAGGCCAGGCGAGTGAGGGCAGGCAGGCAGCAGGAGCCGCAGCGGGCGGCGGCGGCTTTCGAAGCGGCCAGGGCATGCCATGGGCTGGCGCGCGCCGGGCGCCCGCTGCGCCCCAACCGCCTCGCCCAACTGGTGCCATGGGGTGCCTGGGGGTGGGCAGGCCGACGGGCCAGGCCCTGCGGGCCGTGAGCTCACCGATGGTGGGGATGGTGGTCACGATCTCGCCCAGCTTCAGCTTGTAGAGAATGGTGGTCTTACCGGCGGCATCGAGGCCCACCTGCGCAGGGGCGGGCCAGGCAGGGTGAGCGCCCACAGACCACGTTTGAGTGCAGGCGCCTGCCCGCCCGATCGCTGCGCAGCCCCGGGCGCTGTCTCGCTCTTCACCATCAGGATCCTCATCTCCTTCTTGGAGAACAGCCTGCGGGCGGCGGGGGGCGTGCAGGCAGCGGGGCGCAGGTCAGCGGCTCGCTCGATCAGCGCGGCGAGGAGGGCTGGGGGCCGCCCAGGCGCCCCCAGGCACTCACCGTGCAAACAGCTTGGTGAATGTGAGGCCCATGGCGCCTGCAGCCTCCTCCGGCGGTTGGGCGGCTGGGGGACTCCCACAAACGAGGGTTGCCTGGCCTGGTGAGACTCGTAGGACTGCGGCGCTGCCCTGTAGAGCCGCAGACTGGATTGGTGAAGGCTGGGACGGGCCCAGGGGCGAGCCATCATGCAGCCGTGCTAGGCGGGCACCACAGCAGCTCAGTCCTCATGGGCTCGCTGGGCCGCCCCCGACGCCTGTTTCTTCATCTTGCAGCCGTGCACGACCCCTGCAGCATCCCCAGAGCCCGCCACACACTTCCCGTTCAGCACCAACAGGCAGCCGTGTAAACTGCGGCCCTCCCTGCCAGGCAGCCGCCGGGACTGGTAGCCTGGATTGCTAAGGAAACGAGGCGACGGTGAGAGCGGGCTCTGAAGCGATGGCCCAGCACCTTCCGGCGGCGGCGGCGGCGCTGGTCGCCTGCCTGCTGCTGCTGCCCGCAGCTTTGGCGCAGACCACGGTGAGCTTACATGTGAGCAACGGCGACTTGCAGCTGCTTGTCCACGCATGGGAAGACGGAAGTCATCTCCGCGCCATGGACGCTGAGCGACGGGTCCCTACCGCGTCATTCCGCCGCCGCGCGCTCACCCCGCCGCCGGAGTCTCTCGTGCTTGTTGCCTCTCCGCCGTCGCAGACCATCCTGCCGGGCGAGTGCCGCGCGCTGACAAAGGACTTCAACAGCTTCAACTTCGACTACAAAGCCAACTTTGCCAGCACCGGAAACCTGACGGAGGGCTGCACGTTCGAGTGAGGCTGGTCCACGGCGGCGGCCGCTTCGACCGCAGCGCTCGCCCGCCCACATGCATCTTTGCCGGGCCTCAACAACCTCATTCAGCTGCTGGGGAGCGGCGAGGAGGCGCGTGTTACGGGGGAGGCCCAGGGCTCGCGCGCCGGCCCCGTGCCGCTGCACGCCCATCCACCCACCGCTTGTTTCCCGCGCCGCCGCCCCCCCGCAGGATTTCCAGCCTGTACATGAAGGGCACCTGCAGCTCGGAGCGCAACAACATGGGGTCTGGGTGCGGCGGCGGCAGCGGGGTGCCCGTCAACGACACCTCCTGCCAGGCCGTGTTTGAGGACGGGCCCAACAGCGCGCTGCACACGCCCCCCATCCCCAGTGAGCGGTGCCGCCGGCGCCGGCGCCGGGGCGCAGGGAAGCGTGCAGGGGTGGCGCCGGCTGCCTGCCTGCTGCCTGCCTGCCTGCTGGCTGGCTGGCTACGCCGGCATGCGGGGTGGCCTGCCCCAGCGCCCGCTGTGTGGGCCGGCAGGCCAGCCACCGGGCCAGCCGCCAGGCCTCCCTCCCTGCTCCATGCGGCCCTCACACCTGCCTCCTCTGGCCGCTGCCACCCCCTCTGCTCCTCCCCAGCCTCCAGCTTCGCCTTTGACGCCGGCTCGCTCTGCACCAAGTCGGACATCGGATACTTCTTCGTGCGGTACAACTGCTCCGGTACCGCCGCCGACCCGACACTGCCGCTGCCCTTTGACGTCACGGTGAGGCTCGCCGGCGGCGGCCCGCGGCGGCGGCGGGTGGTTGGCCCATGGGTGGCGGGCGCCGGCGCGCTGGTGTGGGCAGCGTGTGGATGTGCATGGGCGGTCCGCCCTGCCCCCTCCTGCCTCCCTGCCAACCGTCCCTGCCTGCTCGCACTCGGCCATCCCCTGTGGCCCCCTGCAAGCCCCCCCAGGCCCGCGCTGCGGCTCCCCATCACCCCGCACCGCCCGCCTCTTCACCCCGCATCGCCCGTCCCTTCACCGCGCATCGCCCGCCCCTTCACCGCGCTTCGCCCGCCCCCCCGCCTGCAGCTCACCTGGTCCACCTACAGCACCGGGTGCGGCGAGTATGCCTTCCCCTCCTGGGCCCGCTACATGATCGGCGTGGTGATGGCCATGGTGCTGGTGGCCCTCATGGCGCTGTGCTTCAAGCGCTGCCTGACGCGGCGCCCCGGGCCCAGCCCCGCCGCTGTCCAGCTGGCGCCACCTGGCGGCGCGGCGGGCGGCGGGTACTACACCGGCAGCGCCGCCTACGGCGCAGACGGGCCGCCGTCGTCGTACGCAGGCGCGTGGGGCGCCGCGCCGGCCGGCGGCGCGCCCGCGGGATACCCCCCCGCCGGCGGCTACGGCGGCGGCGCCTACGGCGGCGGCGGCGGCTACGGCGCCGCGGGCTACCCGCCGCCGCCGCAGCCCTTTCAGCCGCCGCCCATGACGACGGTCACGCTGGGGCAGCCGTCGTTCCCAGAGGAAGGCACCAGCCCCGCTGCCGGCGGACTGCCCGCTGTGGGTGGCACCCCTGCACCCGCCGGCAGCGGCAGTTTCTACCCGGTTCCCGGCAGCGGGGCGCCGCCGCCGTCGGCCACCGCCGCAGACCTGCAATCCAAAGTGTGATGTGATGTGTGGTGCCTGGCCAAACGCGACGCCTCCTCCCGACCCGCTGCCTGCCTGCACCTCAGCTGCATTTGACTCGACGCGGCGCCGGAGCCTCGGCGCCGCCCCAGCCCCTGTTTCCTTTTGATGTTTGTATAACGTACTGATAGGCAAAAGGAGGGCATGTTACAGCTGGTCGCGAGCTTCCCCCCTACTGAAGCGGCGCAGAAGCGGTACAGGCTGGCGCAAGGGCATGGCAGGGCAAAGCCGGCGTGCATGCGCATCACAGGCTGAGCGCCAGCAGGCTCTGCACGACGTCTGGCGGCAGCTCGACGCCCGCCTCGTGCTGCGCCCGCGCCAGGCACCGCGCCGCGCTGCGCAGGCGCTGTGCGTCTGCCGGCGGCAGGCGCAGCACCACCTGCCGCGCCTGGTGGGCCGAGTGCGCCAGCGCTGCGGGCAGCAAGCGGCCCAGCCCGGGGCAGGGCGTCGGCACCAGCGCCCACCCTTCCGCGGTCAGCGGCAGGTGGGCGGCCACAGCGTCCGCAAACAGCCGCCGCTCCCCGGGGCTGCCCGCGGCGGCGGCGGCGACGGCGGCCAGCGCCGCCGCTGCAGGTACGGCAGAGAAGAGGCGGCGGGCGGTGGCCGCCTGCCGGTAATACAGAGCCAGGGCCAGCGGGGTGCGCCCATCCCTGTCGGTGGCCGATGCTGCAGAGGGCGGCGCCGCCGCCAGCAGCAACTCCAGCACCTCCAGGTGGCCGCCGTGCGCTGCCTGGTGCACCGGCGTGCGGCCATAGGCGTCTGCCGCTGTGACAGCTTCGGGCGCGGCCTGCAGCAGCAGCCGCGCCGCCGCCGTGTGGCCCATCCACGCCGCGCAGTGCAGGGCGGTGTACTGGTGCCGGTCCACCACGGATGGCAGCTCGGGGCCCGGGCAGTCGGCCAGCAGCAGGCGCAGCAAGTCGGCGTGGCCGCCGCGGGCCGCCAGGAACAGCGGGGTGCGGCCGTTGGCCTGCGCCGCCGCCGCGGTGCCGGGGGCGGCGGCCAGCAGGAGCCGCGCGACGGCCGGGTGGCCGCCAGCGGCGGCCATGAACAGTGGAATCTGTCCGTCCAGGTTTGCGGCGGTGGCCGTGCCTGGGGCGGCCGCCAGCAGCAGCTGCGCCACGTCGGCGTGCCCGCCCTTGGCGGCAGCATGCATCGGCGCCCCGCAAAAGCCCGTGACGCGGGATGCTGCCGCCGGCGCCGCCGCCAGCAGCAGCCGTGCGGCGTGCGTGTTTCCGTGCGCCGCAGCCTGGTGCAGCGGCGTGCCGGCGTAGCTGGCAACCACGAGCGCGGCGGCTGGCGCGGCCGCCAGCAGCAGCCGCACCACTGCGGTGCTGCCATTGCGCGCGGCGGCGTGGAGCGGGGTGAAGCTGTAGCGGTCTTGGGAAGAGGCAGAGGCAGGGGCCGCCGCGAGCAGCGCCTCCACCACCTCCGCGTGCCCGCCGTCGGCGGCATGGTGCAGCGCCACCCACTGCACCTCATCCCGCGCCGCCGCGGTCTCGGGCGCCGCCGCCGCCAGCAGCCGCGCTGCGGCTGCGTGGCCTCGCTCGGCGGCATAATGCAGCGGCGTCCACTGCCGCTGGTCTCCCATCGCACATAGATCACGCGGGTCGGGCGCCGCCGCAAGTATCAGCTCTATCACGCCGGTCCGGCCATACTCTGCGGCCGCGTGCAGCGGGGCGCGCAGAATGGCGTCCCTCTTGGCGACGGCTTGGCCGGGCGCTGCCGCCGCCAGCAGCAGCTGGAGAGCGGCTGTGTGGCCCAGCGCCGCTGCCGCGTGGAACAAGGTGCGCTCGGGCCCCACCCAGGCGGGATCTGCAGGCGGCGCCAGTCGCCAGGGCGCCGGCAGTCAACACGGCTCTTGGCCCCAGGGGGGTGGCATGGCAGGAAGTTGACTGGGCAGGGCCCGATCGGGTGCACATGCTGCAGGCCGGCCCGGGGCTGCCCTGCACAGCGCTCCCACCTGACTCCTCCTCCTCCTCCTCCTCGCTCCCCTGGCTGTCGCATTCCTCCGCCGCCGCTCCAGGCGCCACCAGCGCGGCGCACTCGCCCAGCTGCCTGGCCACCTGGCCATAGCTCAGGCTGCGCATCGCGGCGGCTGCTAGGGGCAGCGCGCTGCGCGAGGCAAGGAGGGGAACTGCGGGGCGCTTTCAGCCGAGGGCTGCGAGATGAGAAGAATGGTGCCGCCACATCTGCGCCTGCCCCCTCACCTGGGGCAACACAGGTCCAGCCCGGCCACTGCCTCGGCCAAGCTGGTTTGACCGTCTGCGCCCTCCTGCTGCGCACCATCTATTGCCTGCTTGGCTGCAGGGGGAGCATGGGAGGTGGGGGCAGGCTGGCTGGGCCGGCGGGCTGTGCAGCGCGAGCGCCAGGCCTGGGGGAGAGGAGGGGCATGGCTGTCAGCTGAGCCGGCGAGCTGCTTGCACACTTTGCAGCGCGGTGCCTATGAGGGAGGCATCCTCCTTGGTGGGAAGCAAGAATACCTCCGGCTGGCCGCCGCCCTGCAAGAGCAGCACCTGCCGGAGCGGGCGAGGTGGCGGCGGAATTGCAGTGTTGGTGCGCTGCCTCTGGCGCATGCTTGGTGCATGCTTGGCGCAGCCCTGGGCTCTGCCGATCGGGGGTGCTCTCAGGAGGCGGGCAGAGGAAGATGGAAGCGGGACTTGGTGGCTGGGTGGCGGGTGGGGCCCATCATGCAAAGGATACGCACCCATTTGCCGTCCTTGCCTCGTTGAACAACGGCCATGCGCCTGCTGGGAGCTGCAGGCCTGCACTGCGCCTCGCTCTCGGGGGTTTCGCTGTCTCCCGGCTGGATGTGGAGTGAAATCGATTTGTGGATGATGCGTGAAGACGCCATGGGAGGCAGATCGCGCTTGAAACGATCAAGCTGCCCTGGCGCCATGTGCCGTCCCGCTGAGCTGGCGGGCGGGGCGCCGGTCTTGTAGGCCACAGGCATGCCGCCCTAATTGCAGCGTAGCGGCACCCAGCGCCAGCTGTGCGGCTCAATGCGATGCTCAGCAATTAGTACTGCGAGAAGTGGGCGGGCCGCCACACCTGAGAAAGTTGGTTGGCCGCCACGCCTTCTTGGGTGGCGGCCAAGTTGGCGGTGGCGGCCAAGTTGGCGCGCCAAGCAGGCGGGGTCCGCCCTGTGCATCGGTAGCCACCATGCACCGTCTTGCCGCCTCCACTGGAGGCGGCAGGATGCCCGTTCCGCGCCGCCATCTGCACAGGCAGCGGGTTGCCAGGCGCCGCACCAGCGCCGCGTCCGCGCTGTGCAGTACCTTGTCGCACACAGCAAGCGGGCTCTCTTCATGCTGGCCATGTCTGCGGAGGCTGCAAGCTGGGACAGTAGGTCTGTGACGGCAGGCCTCAATAGTGCTGGCCACCGTGGACGTGATGGGGGGGCGCCGCCACCCGCGGTGCCGCCGCCACGTCACGCTGAGTTGGCGGGGAACCGACCCTCTCGAGGCGCATCCGTTCAAGCCTCCGCTCTCTTTGCGCAAGATCCTATGCATTCCTTGCCGTTCCCAGCCCACGGTTGCTGCGAGAGAGCGGGCCGCGTGTGGCTCGACAGTGCGGCTCCAGCCCCTGGCCTGGAATGCTGCTCGACCTGCTGGCCGCTCCTGGCGGGGGCACCGGAGGCCAAGGGATCCACCGTCTGGTGAGTCGCCACGCGTGCTCGTGGGGCGAGCGACATCAGCGGGCCTAACGCCGCGCCGCCATCTGCGCCTCCCTGCCCTTTACTGCAGGAGGAGGCCGCGGCGTGGCAGCCCGAGGCCATGGATGTTGAACAGCAGGAGGCCTCCTGGGGCTCCCTGTGGGACAGCGAGCTGCCAGAGTTCGCTGACCTGGGCGAGGTGCTGCTCTCGCCACCGCCGCCAACGCAGGCAGCGACCGCATCGGCGGGAGGCCAGCAGGCACGCGCCAAGCGGGCGCGGGGACGCGGCAGCGGCGGCGGGCGCCCCAGCCTGCTGCGCAGCAGCTTCAGGGGGGTGGCCGTGCACCCACGCACCGGCAGGCAAGCGCTGGGCCAAGCTCCGCATCCCTGCCTCTGCCCTCCGCCGCTCTCCCTGCCCCCTTGCCGTGCCCCGACCAGCCTGCGCTGGGCCTGCAGGGTGGAGGCGCACGTGTGGGTGGCAGGCAGGCAGCTCTACGGCAGCGGCTTCTACAGCCAGGAGGTGGCGGCTCTGGCTTACGACCTGCTCAGCGTGAGAGCCCAGCTGCCGCACCCCGCTCACCCCGCACGCCGCTCGTACCCCAGAACTGTTCGCCGCTCGCCCACCCGCTGCGCATGCGCCGCTGCCAGCCGCCAGCGCCACGGCGCACCCTGCTGGCGGCATTGCAGCCCGGCGGCCCGCCCGCCTGCCACGCACTGCTGCTGTCCCAGTGACAGTGGCTTGGCGGGCTGCCCTGCCCTCTGACGTGTCCTGTTCTGTTCTGCGATGTTCTCCCTCCTTGCAGGTAAGAGTGCGGGGCGCCGAGGCGGCCACCAACTTTCCGCTGGAGCTCTACCACGCCGAGTTGGCGGCGGGGGCCCAGGTGGGGAGTGCAGGGAGGGATGGGCTACCGCCGTGGCTGCCAGCGTGTGTGTGGGGAAGCACCGGAGCGCTCGGGCTTTCCATCCAGCGGCCAGCCACCTGCACCTTACCCCACTTCAGATGCTGCACACCACCACATGCCCCACCTCCCCGCGTGCAGGTGCCTCTGGAGCAGCTGGTGACGCACCTGCGGGCTCAGGGCAAGGCGCTGGCGCGCATCGACGCCTGCCAGGGGGCCGCCGCCTCACTGGAGCCCTGGGAGCTGCAGGCACGAGGGTGTGCGGCAGGGGTGCATGCAGGGTATACCATGCAGCTGCTGCTGGCGCTGCGGCACCAGCTGTGCCTCCTCCCCTCCCTGCTGCCGCCCCGATCTCCCTCATATGCCCCAGCCCTGCCCCGCAGCCTCACTCGCTGCAGCCCTGCTCTTGCCTCCTGCCCCGCCCTCCTCCTCCTGCAGCTGTCTGAGGCGATCTCAGGGCAGCCCTCGCTGGGGCTGTTTGCCTGCGAGGCCGAGGCGGCCCGCGCGGTGGACCGAGGGCTGCTGGCCCGAGACGGCCTGGCCACGGCGCCGCTGCTCACCTTCCCGCTGGCTTCCTATGCCGCCCTGCTGGACGCCGCCACCGTGCAGCAGGCGATCCTGCAGGGCCTGCTGCCAGTGACAGTCGAGGCGGTGTCTGCGGCGCCGCCGCCGCTGCCAGCGCAGCAGCTGCCAGGGCTAGAGCTGGCTGCATCCCAGAACACCGTGCTGCCGCACATAGCCAGCCTGCCTGCTGTCAGCCACCACGCCGGCAGCGGCGGCTGGGAGGGGGCGGCTCAGGGCGGCGGCGGCGGCGCCACTGCGACGGCGGCAGCAGACGGTTGGGGCATGGCGCCGCCGGTGCCGCAGCCCGCGGTGCAGCGGAAAGCATCGATGACGCCCCGCGCCTCCCAGCTGGGCTGAGCACTGGATGCTCGAGGAGAACCAAACATGGACAATGTGACATTCAATGAGCCAAATGTTTTGGCGCAGCATTGACCTTCCGCCAGTTGGACCTCCCGCATCCGCTGCTCCCTGGTGCTGGTGCTGGCAGGCACAGCACCAGCATCTCCATTTCCTGCTGCCTCCACCTCCTGCCACCAGCAGCCACCAACCCCTTTTACTGTTGTTCTACACATTGTGACTTGAACAATCAAAGAACGCTCTCCGAACAAAGAGTTCGCTATCATTTGCATGCAGAAGCAGGAAGCGAATGTGCTCACATCGCCGTCCCCTGCGCCGCCGCCCGTGCCGCTGCCCGCGCCGCCGCCAGCGCCTTGCACACATGCTTGTGCCCGCCACGCTGCCAGTCGGCGTGGGAGCAGGCGGTGCCGCAGTACCAGGCCACGCGGCACCCGGAGCAGCGCAGGCTGCCGACACCCTCGCCCGCCGCCGGCCCGCCCTGCGCTCCCAGGTTGGCACACCCCAGGTAGGCGCAGCTGCGGGTGACCACCGCTTGGGCCACCTGCACCCGCGCTGGCACCTCCGCCTGCTCCTCCTGCGCCGCCCAGTGCTGGCGCAGCAGCTCGGCAGCGGCCACCGCCGCGGGTAGGGACTGGCGCAGTGTTGCCAGAAGCTGTTCGGGCGGCATCCGAGACGGACCGCTTGTGTCCAGGGCCCACACCCGGCCTGCTGCCTGCTCCATTTGCTGCTTCATGGGGCTGGCTGCTGACTCAGAGGCCTGGAGCAGCGCAGAGCACACCCTACTAAACACGCCTGCAACGCCATCGCACACGGCAGACTCCTGCAGGCGTTGGCAGTGGGCAGGGGTGGGGTGCGTGCAGAGCAAGCAGAAGTCTGCTTTGCACGAACATTTGATTGTTCATCCAGCAAGGCAGCCTGTCTGCTCACCGTGCTGCCGCTCAGCCGCACGCCGCTGGCCAGCAGGCGCCCCGGCAGCTCCAGCGCATCTGCCACCAGCCCGTCCCGCAGTGCCGCCACCGCCAAGTGCCCCGCTTGTGGGGTGCTGGAGCGCGCTCCCTTCAACAGGACAGTGTTCAGTATCTTGAGACTCTCCTCCTCTGTTCCATCAGCAATCTGCACAAGCAGAGGGAGATGCAGGCAGGTTTCTGAGATGCAGGCAGCAGCCATACAAAGCTCCTTGCCAGTGCCATCAAAGCAAGAGGGAAGGGCACATGCAGCCGCCACCCAACTCACCAGGCACCTCACACCAGCCACCATCTGCCCAAACAGTTCAGGGCGGGCGTTGAGCAGACACTCGGGCATCGCTGAAACCATTATTGCAGCCGCGCCAGCCCATCTGGCCAGGTCAGACTTGCTCCAGCGCTCAAACGGGCCAAGCCGCTCGACCACCGCCTGCTGGGCTTCCCACAGCGCGGCCAGCGCAGCGATGAGCTGCCTGCACAGAAGTAAGCGGGCAAGCGTGAGGCAGGGGTTAGAGTTGCGCGAGGGGTTATTCGCGGTACCAAGGAGCAGTGCTGACAAGGAGGGCATGCATACCTGTCTGCCTTCTGAATGTCAGCGGCCGCAGGGGCCATCAGGGGAGTACAAGCCAGCGAGGTGCCCAGAAGGATAGTCATCGAGTATGCAAGGAGCAGAAGCGAGAGGGTATCAGAGCTGCTCCATCGACGGTGCCCCCAAAGGAATGCCTGGTGATGCACTGCCCGCTCCAAGCAGTAGTGGATGAGGCGGCAGCTGCGGGCCTGCAGCTGCAGCGCTGCCGGTGACGCTGCCACCACCGCCACTGCTGGAGGGAGGGCAGCAGGCTGGGCGCTCAAGCTGCCCAAGGAGGAAACCGCCTGCCCGTGGGCCCAGGAATACACGCTTAAGCACTTCCCAGCCAGCGTTTCACGCGCCAATCCTGTCTGTGTGCTGGGCTGCTGCTTCAGCAGCACAGGCAGCAGGCGCAGTGCACTATCGCTGGCCTCTAGCACCAGGAGAAGCTGGGCAGCGCTGCCAGCTTCGGCAGCGCTGGTTCCCAATTCCAGCACCTGCATGCACAATGCGCATGCTGCTGGAGCTGCCTGCTGCGCCCCGGTGCCCTCCACCGCCTCCAGCACTGCAGCAAGCTGGGGGAACAGGCGCAGAGCCGCAACTGGTGCTGCCGCTGCTGCCTCACGCTGGCGGCGAGGCCCGGCGCTCTGCTCTGGGCGCCTGCTCAGCTGCTCCAGCTCCCTGCAGCAGGGCACATGGTCCAGCACAGGTGTTTGGCAGGCTGAAGGAGGGGAAGAGGGCAGCACCGACTACCACACACACAAGCAGAGAGCAGCGAGCCAAACCCTGCCTGTGCACGCCCTCAGGGCAGCTCCTGAACGCCGGGTGGCCTGTGAAGGCAGCGGCGGCTCGCTGCACAGAGGCATCAGCCACCACGTCCGCCCAGCCCGCCTCACGCACGGCCTGGAGCGCCTGCTGCAGGCCCTGCATGCTGCGTAGCTGCCACAACGAAGCGGTAAGAAGGAATGATAGCCCAGGAGTTCAGGAGGGAGCCTCATGCTTTCTTCAGCGCTGACGGGGCGCCGACGCTGTACATTGAACATCGAAGGCTATGCACGCGGCACTAAACCTCAAACACAACCAGTAAACAGAGGAAAGAGGCTGAGCCATGCAGCCGAGGCAGAGCGTCCGTCGGATTCAGGGGCAGATCAAAGGGCACATGGCACTCACGCCGCCGTCCCCTGCGCCGCCGCCCGCGCCGCCGCCCGCGCCGCCGCCAGCGCCTTGCACACATGCTTGTGCCCGCCACGCCGCCAGTCGGCGTGGGAGCAGGCGGTGCCGCAGTACCAGGCCACGCGGCACCCGGAGCAGCGCAGGCTGCCGACACCCTCGCCCGCCGCCGGCCCGCCCTGCGCTCCCAGGTTGGCACACCCCAGGTAGGCGCAGCTGCGGGTGACCACCGCTTGGGCCACCTGCACCCGCGCTGGCACCTCCGCCTGCTCCTCCTGCGCCGCCCAGTGCTGGCGCAGCAGCTCGGCAGCGGCCACCGCCGCGGGTAGGGACTGGCGCAGTGTTGCCAGAAGCTGTTCGGGCGGCATCCGAGACGGACCGCTTGTGTCCAGGGCCCACACCCGGCCTGCTGCCTGCTCCATTTGCTGCTTCATGGGGCTGGCTGCTGACTCAGAGGCCTGGAGCAGCGCAGAGCACACCCTACTAAACACGCCTGCAACGCCATCGCACACGGCAGACTCCTGCAGGCGTTGGCAGTGGGCAGGGGTGGGGTGCGTGCAGAGCAAGCAGAAGTCTGCTTTGCACGAACATTTGATTGTTCATCCAGCAAGGCAGCCTGTCTGCTCACCGTGCTGCCGCTCAGCCGCACGCCGCTGGCCAGCAGGCGCCCCGGCAGCTCCAGCGCATCTGCCACCAGCCCGTCCCGCAGTGCCGCCACCGCCAAGTGCCCCGCTTGTGGGGTGCTGGAGCGCGCTCCCTTCAACAGGACAGTGTTCAGTATCTTGAGACTCTCCTCCTCTGTTCCATCAGCAATCTGCACAAGCAGAGGGAGATGCAGGCAGGTTTCTGAGATGCAGGCAGCAGCCATACAAAGCTCCTTGCCAGTGCCATCAAAGCAAGAGGGAAGGGCACATGCAGCCGCCACCCAACTCACCAGGCACCTCACACCAGCCACCATCTGCCCAAACAGTTCAGGGCGGGCGTTGAGCAGACACTCGGGCATCGCTGAAACCATTATTGCAGCCGCGCCAGCCCATCTGGCCAGGTCAGACTTGCTCCAGCGCTCAAACGGGCCAAGCCGCTCGACCACCGCCTGCTGGGCTTCCCACAGCGCGGCCAGCGCAGCGATGAGCTGCCTGCACAGAAGTAAGCGGGCAAGCGTGAGGCAGGGGTGCCGGTCGCGCAGGTTCTGGCTGGTGCTGAATCGCAGTACTGACAAGCAGGGCATGCATACCTGTATGCCTTCTGCCTGTCAGCGCCCGCAGGGGCATGCAGGCGAGTACTGCCCAGCGAGAGGAACAGAAAGACGGTCAGTGTCCACGCGAGATGCAGAAGAGCTAAGGGATTCAATCCCTGCTGCCACCAAGGATCTGCACCCCCCTGCGTCGCTCGCTCCAACCAGTAGTGGACGAGGCGGCAGCTACGGGCCTGCAGCTGCAGCGCTCCCGGCGATGTGCCCACCACCGCCACAGCCTGATCAGAAAGACCACAGACCGGCCGCCTCTTGCTCGAGGGCGGCCCACTTTGGCCTGGGCAGCCCGGGCCGCCCTCCCCCCCGGGCGCATGTTCGGTGTTGGAGGGGTGCGCCCAGCGATAGGGGGCCCCTGAAGGCATGCGCCGAGGCCGGGAAGCGTGGTTCGGCGCTGCTGCACGCTTGGCGACTTGAACAGAACCGCGTGCCGCCGAGCTGCGGCCGCAGTTTCCGGCCCACAGTCTACGGCCGCAGCCACGGGACTCGGCGGCACGGCGTTTGGGCCCAAGCTTGCTGCCGCCGCCGCCGTGCCCGGGGGGCAGCGCGGCGGCGGCGGCGGCACGCTGCGACGCCCCCGAGCCACCGAGCTGCGGCCGTAGCTTCCTGCCAGAAGCCCACGGCCACAGCCACGGGACTCGGCGGCACGGCGTTTCGGTCCACGGCTTGCTGCCGCCGCCGTCGCAGGGGTGCTGCCTGCGGCGGCGGCGGCACGGCGTTTGGGTCCACGGCTTGCTGCCGCTGCCGCCGCCGCAGGGGTGCTGCCTGCGGCGGCGGCGGA